CGGACCCATTAACAACACCCCCTCCGTGTGCAACTCGATCCCCCATCTCTTGCTAGATACGTGTCAAGATAAGACTCACACACTCACACACTCAGGGATGAGAAGAAAGTTCTTACTCATTCTTCCCATACTTTGCGGGAGTGCTGAGATAAGTTTGCTTTTAGGAGGAAGTGATTGTCACGAGGTGTCAGAGGTGAAAGGTGACACCTTTTTAGGGTTATCATTAGGTTACATAATGACCTGGTCCCTGTCCTCGCTGCTCAGGAGGCAGCTGGTTAGGTGTTGTCTCCTGTCAACACAAGATTTGTATCCTGTCCACTCACCCCTCCTTCTAGCTTTTGGACATTTTTAATTTCTTACCTTGAGGCAAAAGTGAATTAAAGTTACAAAAATTCATCATGGTTCTGTGAGTGATACAGTTTTGGCGAATGCAATCTACAGCCATAGATTGTAAAGTAGAGTCTGCTATGCCTGGCCATGTTTTGCCGCCACATAATGGAAAACCTTATAGAGGAATTCTGTAAGGGGCGTTTTGAAAGAGTACTGTGAAGATAACTTTCTCTGTGTTAGAAAAGGTGCCCTTGAACTGGAAAGCAACTGAAGTTCCACATGAGGGTTGTGCATTGAGGAGTGGTGTGCTAGGATTTGATGTCTCCTTTTGAAGTGTCTTTATGAGCAAAGTCTGTGCTCTGACTCGCTGAATCGAGCTAAGCCCGTCTTAAGCAGGGGCCTCCACTGTCTCTGCTCTTCTTTCCTTTTCTCCTCCATTCACTCCAGGGACGACTTCTGTCTTTTTATTTCACCACCATGTGTGTTGTCATAGAATACTAATGATTTACAGGACCTGCTGTGTTGCCAAGATGATTCTTTCTACACAAGTAGATTAGGGTTGAGTAAAACACCGAAGACAAGCCAAATATTTTATAGGGTTTTTGTGAGATTGTGAGACATTTATATTTTGTTTGATTGATGCCCAGATTTGCCAATCAGCAAATATATATATATATATATATATATATATAGTTTACAATTTATTTAATTGGTTAATTGATGTTTGTCTGCTTTTCTTTGGTTTCTGTTGTTGTTCGTTTAATATATTTGGGGTTTAGACTATGCTACAGACAAAGAAAGTAATTTGAAGATGTGCCCTTGGGCTCTGAGAACTTTTTTTTTTGCCATTTTTTGAGACTTTCTGCACTAAAAGATTGATGGGAAAAGTATGGATTTGTTCATCTATATGGAAAATAATTGCAGTTGCAGCTCTAGCTCACAGATAATATGTGGTTTATTGTACTGTGTGTTCTTATGAAACTTAAACACCACACCTTTTAGGTTGATGCATATAATGATTCATACATTTATATTTTTATTGAATATATTTATATACCTCCTTTGAAAACTTAGAATCAATCAATTTGAGAGGATTTTATGACAGAAACAACCAGGTTTATTTTACAGCAGTAAATAGTTAGCTACTTACCTGCTAGCTTGCAGCTATCATGTCTTGCTATGTTGAAATGCAATTACTTTATTGTTGCTTTATTGTACTGTGTTTTTATGAAACACCACTTCCTCATAAGTGTAGTGGTCCACTACTTTTTACTCTCAGCTCCTAAAGGGTCACAGCCCTTTGAGGAGATACTATTCCATCACCTTTACATGTTTGAATGTTGCAGCATTATGCTGAAGCCAGCGGGTGGCACAGGACATAATCACATATATCAATTCTGTGCAGAATCTGACACCCACAAGCAGACAGAGACCCCCTCTGTACTGGATGTACCAATCGAATGTCCTCCACACAACATGTTATGTAACACCTGCAGCACATGAAACAGTGTTATTCAGCTGGTGCATTTCAGGCACTCGTGTTGTACATTGTACTGCAGGGAATCTTATGTCCTACATTTCCACTCCTTGATGTTAAATGCCCTCATTTGCTTCTCTCCCTCAGTGTGTAAAACTTTGAAGCCCAAAAAATAGACACAGAACAGTATGTAAGGAGAGGATTGTCAAGGGGTTTCCCAAGACTATTCGGCCATACACACAGCTGGCATACCTCCCTGTGAAGGGTCACATGTATGTGTTGTAGAGGAGGGCGCATGTATTCTATTTCCAGAACTAGTCCTGAGCCACTTTAATCCCCCCGCCTTGCCTCCATTGCCATGGGCAGAAGAGAAAGAAAGGCCCCCCAGCCTGCCCCCCCCACGGTGGGGAGCAATGTTGCTGAGATTGAGTTGCATGTTTACTGAAAATAGATTGTGAGTAGAAGAGTCTTTTCTGTCAGACAGACAGAGGGTTTGATAGAGACGATATCAGCAAAGGAGACAGCTCTGTTAGTGCTGCGCTTCAGGGGAAAAGACTAGACTCAGGCATTCAACTGAGGTAAGACCTCATGTTGCGTGTGTGTGTTTGCATGTGGGTGAATGTACAGAGATGTGGGTGTGTGCACATGCCACCACAGCTGGTTGCAAACAAATGATGTAGCTGTGCTGATGCCTTTGTGTCTTGGAGGTGCTCTCAAAAATCATCTTATCCTAAGAAAGGCTTTCTCAGCACCAGCCAGTATATTGCCAACATAAAGTTTACAGTAATAACTGTTCATGTGGTCTAATGTGTTTGCCATTTAAAATGCAAGTATTTGTATTGATCATTTAAATGACACATTTAGTATCACTTATGTAACTATGCCCACTTGGTTGATAATCTGCAAAACATTTCTTTTTTCCCCCTTGGTATTAATATTGAAATAATGTATAAAATACCACAAGAAAAGCTCTGCAGGATAATAACCTAAAAATAATCCTAATATTTCTTTCCCCCAAAGCTTAAGCTGTGTGTGTGTGTGTGTTGCATTTAGTGTGTATTTGTGTAAACAGGGTGTGAAGAGCAGGCCAGGGGCGGGTGTCGGGATGTGAATTTAACGTTTTCATGAGGCGGAGGGCTTTAACCTTTTCAACCCACTGAACCTACAAGTGAATCCATCATTCAAAAGCAGCCAAACAGTCAAAGCCACATAAGCTTTATATTTGATATTCTAGTCAGGTTCCCTAGTCAAGTTCCCATGACACCACATGTCATCCTGAATTATTTGGAAATGTGTATAAAAATGATGCAGAAGACATCTAGAATTTTCTATTTGATGTGATGGTAAAGCACCATGGTTTGGAATATTTCACCCAATGCAAGCATGCAGTAGCTTCAAGCAAAACTGTACTGTATATATGGAATTGCTGACATTTTTCTAACTTTGAAGCTATTAAAGTGGAATCAAGTATTCAAGTGTAAGGTGAACTGAGATGCTGGGAGCCACAGCAGCTAGATGTGTACTTTTTCTATTTGTGCATGACTGTATGTTCATGTACTGCATATAAATGCATTTGTGTGTGTCTGTCTATCAAAGCAGATTTCGTATTACCCTTATGGGTCAGAATAGATGTTAAGGGGTAAAACTGCCATACAGTACATAACAGTGCACTCCACTGATTTTAAGTCAGCCTGTGAAAACACTGGCATATGTCTCTGTGTCTCATATCTACAAGGCATTAGACAATAGATGCTATTGAGTTGCATTGTGGGAAGTGTAGGATGATCCAGCATTGTTGGAAGCGTGGCCCATACAAGGGACAAAAGGTCGGGATGTGTCTCTGTGTCTGTTTGGTTTTTATACTGTGTGTCTGGGTTAGGTTTAGGGCACTGTTTTCTGTGGTGTATTACATCTCTATGTTCTTGTAGTGTGTAGCTGATGTGTCATGGTTATCCCCAGAAAAACATTTAAACACAGGGTTATTTGTTGACCGTGTGAAAAAGAAGAGTTCTACGGCTTTGCAAAGAGGGCTGCTGTTTATGTCATTAGCCTTGGGCTAACAGTTAGCCATGGGTGTCATTATAAAAACAATATGGTTCCTCTGTCTTGCCGGATTCCTGCAGACAGAAGCAAGAGTTTGTCTGCCAAATTATGAATATAGAGCCAAGACGTGTCTGTGCTATCAGACATGTCTCATATGTGGTAACTTAATGAAAACATGGCTGGCTATATGAGCCCATGTGACTTCTCTGCCAACTCCGTTCTGTCTCATATCCCTCAGTCGTCGGTGTGTTTGTCGGGGATGAACATATTCCCCTTCTTCCCCCTCTGTAATGTAATTTTAGCATTAGCCTAGACTGGTGCTTTTACTTTTCCATGTTTTTCTCGAGATTGTGCTAATGGTTAGCTAGCTTCTGTTCCATCAAGGACATTTTAACGTTTCAGGATAATTTATATCCGGCCCCCTAATGTTTATCTCCTCTGGAAGCAGCGTGGCGCTAGTTATAATAATTAGTCTCCCTTTGCTCTACGCTTTTAGCATGAAGCGAGGAGAGGTCACTTTTGAGATATATATTTTCAAAGCTCTTTTTTAGTGAGGGAGGGAGGCAGCAACTGAGTCAGACTTCAGGCTGCAGTTGCACTGCTGCTAAAACAAATGCTGTCTCTTTATTCCGCTGTACTGTTAAATTTTGCAGTGGAGTTATGCTAGTGCTGAACATTTGGGAGCCAGCGGGGCTTGTTGAGAGCATGAATAAAAGAGTTCCTGGGGTGGAGTGGTGCAGGATCCTGCTGTGCCAGATTTAGATCTAAAACAGGAGGGAGGAGAGAAAGAGAGAGGGAGCAATGGGAGAGGGCAAAAAGAGCCGCTGCTGTTGAGACTGTAGATCTGTATTGAGTATCAGAAGTCATAACATCCTTTTCACTTTCGGCATTTAGCAAATTGTTCAGGACACTCTGCATAACACAATCTCTCTCAGATTTACTTCTCCTGTTTGTATGTGTAACCAAACCTTCTCTCTCCTTAGCAGTCCTGGCCGTCGTTCAACAGTTAATGTCATCGGCTAACTAGGCCGCACCAGCTAAGCTATGTGACGGGTCTGTGTAATGGGGTGTATGATGTCGCCTGTTTTGAGTTCAGGGGGGCTGCTTTGTGACCAGTCCGCGTGTGTGTTTGTGTGTGTTGATGTTCCAGCTGAACTCTCCGATGAACTCGGTCAGCAGCACGGAGGACATTAAGCCCCCGCTGGGTCTCAACGGCGTGATGAAGGTGCCCGCCCAGCCCTCAGGCACGGCCTTGTCGCTCACCAAACACATCTGCGCCATCTGTGGTGACCGCTCCTCAGGTGAGTGACTGTGATGAATACCCACTGAATAACACGTATATACTGTCTGCACGGGAAGTATGGTGCAATAAACAATACTGAAGTTATAATTTAATTTAATTAGTTAAGCTAAAGTGATGTGACATTACTAGATATTTTTTTGAAACGGTTAGGTAAGTGTTTGAACCTGCTTGCCTTTTTCAACTGTTTTTGGTGTAAAGCTTCATGCAATTTTTGATTTTGTACGGATGAGTCACAAAAAATAATAAAGCAGAATTATCTGTGACTCATCTGTACAAAAGGACCCATGATGTCAAAGTTGGTTTAAAATTCTCATAAACACATTAAAATATAAATATGGAATGACTATGCTTAAATTGATTGGTGATGACTATTTAAAAGTGTGCATGAGTCAAAGCCTAACCAAGAAGTACAGGGAATGTTATGTATAATTTAGGGAAGAATTGTGTGGAAAGGTATAAAAATAATTTTTCAGCAGCTGGGATTACACAAGACTCCATTATTATCACATGGAAAGCAATTGGGACTACCCAGCATCTTACTAAAGCTGGCATTCTGACCACAATGAGAAACCTCCAAAGAAGATCCAAAGATGAACTTTGGTTAGAGAACAGCCCAACGGACCGCTCTGGCAGAACTACATACTGCAGCTTCTTTCAGTGAGAGATCTTCCTGGAAGGACAACAGTCAGTGGAATTCTTCACAAATCTGGGCTAAATGGCATCAAGGCCAGAAAGAAGCCACTCCTGAGAAAATGCATATGAAGGCAGCACCATAAAGACACATGAAAGAAACTGAAATCATGAGTCAAAAGATTGCACGGTCTGATGAAACCAAAGCCCAATTCAGCTTCGGCTGAAATAGAGAAGCGCTCTGTCTGAGGGAAACCAGGCACAACCCATCACTCATCACATAGCATCCCTACCATGACGCTTGGTGACACCCCCATCGTCATGGTGTGGGTGAGCATCTTTTTTTTTTTTTTTTTCACCTTGAGGACTGCTCATAGAAAAGAATGGAGGAAAATACAGGCAGATGTTGAGAGGAGCCTTGTTTCAGAACACAGTTTGACAGTGAGTCTTGTTACAGAACAGTGCAAGTACGAATACTCCCACATCTCTACTGGAACTCCCTCAGATGTGGCTGTAGAGATACATTCTGCAGTACGTAATGGTTCTTCATGATACATGATAACAGTCATGTGTCAGTATTTCTGAAAACTGAGAACTATATAAATTACAAAACAATTTATTTACATTTTAAACCTTTTTGAAGTTCAGTTCAAATTTCAATGTCCCACTGGTGCGTGAAAAAGGAGTCACTACATCAAACACAGCAAACACTACTTTCCTGTTGACAGGGATATACATGTTGACAGGGCTGCATATGCTGTTATTTATTTATGTCTGTTTTTACGTTGTTGTCTGCCACATACCTGACTTGAAACTAGGTGAAATGTCTACTTTTCCTGTCTCAAGTGAGTCATTTTTGTGTACGCCTACTCATTTGTGTAACCAAAGTTCAGACTTGTAGAAAATACCGGCGGTTATTCTTTCTTGGCCACAAATGCTCACTCCTAGCTTCTCTTAATCATTGGCTCTGGTCAAGAGCTAGCTGAACCACTTTAACCACAAGAACATTTAACCCAGGGCTAACTGTTAGCCCAAGGCTAATGACATAAACAGCAGCCCTCTTTGCAAAGCCGTAGAACTCTTCTTTTTCACACGGTCAACAAATAACCCTGTGTTTAAATGTTTTTCTGGGGATAACCATGAAAAATGTTCAGCCCCGGGATGAAGCTGGATATCTAATTTATTGTTCAGTTTTAGCATCATCCTGCGTCATCAGTGCTACGTAAACCCAAGGGGGGAAATCAAAACAATGTTTAATAGCAAGTCATGCTTCATTTAACTGTGCTCAGAGGCTTTATTTATCTTCTCTGGTGGTCTGACTAGCAAAGAGCTAACAAAGAAACAGTTTGAGTAACACTGGAGAATGCAAATGGGCTTCATCTGTCATAAATAAAAAAGAGCTGTTAGGAACAGAGATGTGAGAACAGTACCATAGCGCAAATCCATGAGGCCCCCTGCAGCTTACCTTCAGTAGGCCCCTCTTTTCTTACCCAGCCACCTCGGCATAACCCCCAAACACATAGTCTGTTCACTTTAACAGGTCTTTGATTGGTCAATTGCTCTTTTGCTTCCTGTATGCTGTTTTTGTGGTTGCATGTCATCTCAGAAAGATTTCTGTTCTCTGGTCTCTTAGAAAACCCTGCTATTAAAGCTGCAGTGCACGCCACGGTTATGTTACTGTTCTGTTGGTCACCAGGTTGTAAAAGTACTCTACAGAATAATGGACAAGATAAGCAACTGACAGGAACTAATGTGCATGTCAATATAAGGCTGTAACGCTGTCACTTAACTGACAACCTAATGGGTCAATTAGACAGTAAGACATGGGAACTTTGGCTAGATTTTATCCTCTATACGCATTAGAAAAACCATCTATGTCTGTCTCTCCCCCCAGGTAAACACTATGGGGTATACAGCTGTGAGGGCTGCAAAGGTTTCTTCAAAAGGACGGTGCGCAAAGACCTGACGTACACCTGTCGTGACAACAAGGACTGTGTCATTGATAAGCGCCAGAGGAACCGCTGCCAGTACTGCCGCTACCAGAAGTGTTTAGCCATGGGCATGAAGAGAGAAGGTACAGCACATACCGTTGAGGATAAAGTCCCACTTACCCATTCCCTCAAGTCTGTTCTAATCCACCCAAACACACATTTACACACAGATAAGTGCCATATTTTAGGAAAGGAAGAAGCAATGCAGTGCATATGATGAATATATTTGCTATTTTTGTGACCAGAAACGCACAGAATATTTTCCCCTGTTATGCACTGACCATTTTATAAAATACAGCAGCATCTAGAATGACTTAATTTAACAGTACACAACAAACTAAACTGATTTTGGTGTGTTCTCAAACTGCTGTTGAATGTGACGCTCTGAGAAGATACCAGTATATTCACTGTGACTACAGGTTCATTCATTTAATGGCATCTGCACCAGATACAAAAGCTTGCAAGATACAGTTGAAGTACACACAACTCCTAATTTTAAACATATTCATGAGTTTAATAATCAAAGAGCAAAATACGGTGTTTCCATTTGTCCGTAAATTCACCACTTTGTCTTTTCAGAAAAATAAAATAGATTTTAAGTGGAGAGTTGCAAAGGGAAAATATATTGCACCTGAGACATTGATTGAGGTTTAAAGATGCCCCTGCCTCAAGCCATTGTTACAGTAGCACTTGCAGGTATGATTATGCTCTGCTACATTGTGCTGTGCATTGCAGCCATAGGCTCTACTGTAAAACAAAACTACTTTTGGGGAAATTATGCATTCGACTCTTGCAGTATTGCTGGATGTGGAAACGGAGTGAGGGTTTGTGAGAACAGGCAGTCCTCAGGGAGTTCACTGATGTAGACTGGAGAAATAAAAACATAACAATGGAGCTGTGTGAACTTCTGCCTCCTTTGCATCCTCTGGATGTAATTGTTGGTGCTCTTGTGCTCCTAATTTTGTGTATAAATTTGGGAGTTGTGCGGGACAGCCTACCTAGTTATTGGGACCGACTTGTTTTCACAAACAAAGATTTTTTTGTGTGCTTATTTTGCAAGATCCTCAATGCACAAAATTTAATCAAAGTACTCAAATTGGATAATGGCTTGTAATTGCACGGCACGGTGAAAACGTGCACCACATTCCTCAAATTAGAGGCTCCTGATGGAATGCACATACTGCTGCTGCCCTTTTCAAATGGATACAGAGATTTAATCAGTCTCATAATGAGGCCCCAGATGTAGAACATATAGTTGTGGAGGACAGACCATTAATCAAACTTTCACTTTAAAATAATGTTGTCAGTGTCCATGTCATTGTGGTTGAAGAATTAATTCAAACATAAACAGGCACCTATTATATACTATACATAACAAGGCTTTATATACTTTTTTACAGGCTTTAAAACACAGCCATGAAATTAACAAAGAACACAACTGACTTTCAGGCTTATTGTTATCTATTGATGATACTTTGGATAGCTTCCTGACAACAAACATGTCACGTTTAGCGATCTACTCCAGTGTTTTAAAGTTTTAAGAGTCAGAACTTATCACCCCTCTGTGGACACAAAGGGCTTCATTTCACCATTAAAGGATTTATTCAAGATACACCAATAAAACATTCCTGCAAAACCACTCTTCCTCCAACACAGAAAACTTCTCTCAGTAGAGACTGGGGATTATAGAAATATCCACTGTAACATTTACATGGTTAAGGTTTGACTACCGTGAATGTCATACTGAAGTCTGTCTGAGCTACAAGCCCTACTACTTTTAGCTTCCACAGTGGCACTGCTTCTAAACTTACATATGCAACTTACAGGCAGAGTCACTTGGCTAGAAACAAACTTTTTCAAATTCAAATTGTGCATTGATGGAAGACTGTTGACTTGTGAAGTTCATACAATAGTTAGTCAGAGAGCTTGTCCTAGCTTGCCATTTAACTGTAATGAATGTCATTGAAACATTAATTTATATTTAATATAATGACTGAATGATGAATATATAAAATAAGATAGTGTTACCTTTTGAACCTTTTGCGACAGTGTTGATCTTAAGCTAGCACTAACTAGAGTTGGAAGCACTGTTGTCAGCTCAAACGTTATTAGTTCCTGGTTAAAAGTGTACTGAAAGATACAGATAACTATATTGCCAAAATGTGGCGTCTGAGCTATTAGTCTTATAAACAGTGCTTGTATAGACCACGCTTTGTGCTGAACTGAGCATAACAGAACGAACCAGCAACCGACTGAACTGAAGACAGGATCGGTCTGAATGCCGTTGCTTTATAAAGAGCGATGGGTTTGCCTACTAACTGAAGTGCATTTGAACAGTGATAGGTTAGGAAAAGGTGAATGAAGTAGGGATGCCAAAGTGAAGACATTTTCATGTCCGTTAATAACAACATAGCTCTTGACAACACCGGTGTTAGCGATTAGACCGGACATTTTGACAAGACGCTCCACATCCAGTCATCCACATCCATTAAAGCTTCCCAACTAGAGTAGTTTGTTCATATAATTATAGTAATTTTAATTATTATAGCAAAGTAGAGCGACTCTGACTTGTAAACATCAAATTGACAAACACTAGCTGTGATTTGGTGTAGTACAGTACTTTGAGGACCGATTACAAAGCTAGTAGGAAAAGCTTGGGTTGTCCGAGAGGGGAAAAAACAGGCAGTCAGGTGTGAATTTTAACACTCCATAAGGGTGTTAAAAAATATTAGCACTCTCAACAGTGCTGTTAAGCACTCTTTCACACATTGAACAAATCAATCACTGCCTCTCAACATTATGGTCACCACAGTTACGGAATACAGATATGGAGTGCATAGATTATACAGAGTGATGTAGTACAGCCAGGGGAGCTGAAAAGCAAAGTCGGTAGCAGGTGTTAACCAGGTGTGCATGCTCAGGTGGATGTGTGTTGGATGTAGCGTCATTGTTTAAAGCTAAGTGAACAAGAAGAATATGTGTTTTTTTGGATAAATGCATTTTGGAGGCTATTCTATCCAAGGCCAATTTGTCTTGACCTTTACTTGGCCTCCCCTCCTTCTTGCTTTTATTTATATCATTGTTGGGCTCTTTACTCCTTTCAAGGATATTATCATTTACTGCCTCACTCACAGTGCTGCCTAAGCCTCCCCCTACACCCTGAGGGCTGTGGTTAGAGAACAAGGCAGCAGTAGCCCAAAAGGCTAAGCGAATCCACAGAAAAACAGGATTAAATGAATTTATGCTCTCCCAGTCAGGAGAGGAGAGGAGAAGGGGGGGAGAATAAAGCTAACATGATTTCAGCCCTCCTCACCTCTCCCTGACTCCAACACAAGTATTCTACCCTTGGGCTGACCTCCACCGCCAGACAGCAGTTCCTCTAAAATGGGGCCCCTTTCCCTCTCTTCCTCTAACAACCCCTGCTTTCCTTCCCCCCCCAAAAAGACCACGGCCTCTCTGATTCAGGACTTGGAATAGAAACCAGAGTAGGGGAAACGTAAGAAGACAGATCATCCTGCAGACCTAGTGTGTGTGATATGTGTGTGTGAGGCAGGGCAGTTCTCCAGGTGTGTATGTTAGCTTTCATGCTGACATTGAATCTCCAAAAACCCTTTCTCATTCAACACATTATGGCCAAAACTTTTTTATTAATCCATGTTTGGAGGACAAACTTATAAAAAGCCGCAGTACTTTTTTCTGTGGTGTCTTGAATTAAGTAAATTATAGCCTTTTGAAAAGACAAAGCACACACACATACATCTTTTCCATCCTCACTTGAGGGTGGAGGTGCGGTTTCTCTTGCCTCGGCCACAGTGAGTCTCGGTGTCTGCTCAGCACACAAACCATTTCCTGTGTCTCCTTGCCAAGCCAATCAGATGACAGAACCAACACGGTTTTGCTTTAAGCCTTTTTTTTTTTTTTTTTACCCGACATGGAAAGAAAATGTACTAGACAAAGTCTTCATTGATTTGTGTTCAGGGTTTTTTATTTAAGCTCTTCTGGCGGCCACGCACGGCGTGAAGAAGGAGTGACAGGCAATACATTATTTATGTGTCTATAAATGATTTGTGTATAAAAGGAGCCGGCTGTTTGTCATTGAGCGCTGCATGAAAAACACATCTCTTTGATAAGGAAGCTGAAAGTCCTTGAACATTTCCACGCTACTGCGTTGTGCATAATGTAGGTCTAAGGTCCTAAATAAATTCCATCCGCACTGCTGAAGCAATTATTGATGATTGAACTCTCTTGGATATGTTTACTGGCATAATACATACTGGGTCATGCACTATTCACTGGCTTACCGAGACACACTGACTGAAGCAGGCACTCACATATGCAGATACTCGACATGGGTAAGCAAACACACACTCGAGCATGCACACGCACATTGTATGTTCAAGTGTGTGTAGTTATAAATAAGGGCCAACTATGTATTCAGTATTCAGTACATATATGTATTCAAGCATTTAATCAAAGGGAAGATTCAGTGTTGGAAGCTGTTCCATCTAATTCTATAACTGTGTTGCAAAACAAAAAAGACGTCTGTCTTAACATAAGTCATTTCATCTCTGATTCATCCAGAATCATTTCTTTTTCTTCAGAGCAGAAAAAATAATCTACCAACGTAGTTCCCCTTGTTAGAGAACTTTTCCAGACATGGGTCATGTTCAGTATCTCGAACAAGACTTGGGTAAGGCAGATTGTTGCACTAGAAACAAGAACACTTGATTATAGAAAATAAAAGACTGGAATAATCTCACCTCATAGGTAGATTGCCATGTTTTTTGTATTTTTACAAAAAATAGACAGTGACTTGCTAAAAACAGGATTTTAACCCCCATTGCAGTGGCTGAAAATTCTTACTAAACTGCAAGTTGGTTAAAACAGGTTTGCAGAGTTAAAGCTGCATTAATAAATGTTTGGCCACTAGGGGATAGAAGTGGAAAACTAGCTCAAAAACACAAAGCCCTGACATATCACATTACAAATTTGTTATTGCTAACATGTTAGCAAACAGTTTTTTAGCTCTTGTTTGGTCTCTATCAATGCTAGAGAAAAATATCTCTTTAGCTGCTCTCCTCATCAGCTAGTAACTGACTGTCTGCAATTTGGTGCTGGGCTTGTAGAGCACTATTGATCTAGCATATCTTTGCTGAAAACATCCACAGTAATTAAAACAATTAGCCAAAAGAGGCTAAATAAACAACCCCGAAGTTAAATAATGATTCTCTGTGAGTTTGCCACTATGAGTCATTTAATTAATTGTCAATATAAAAGTATTAATTAATGCATCTTTATCATTTTATAAAACCATGTAGGCTTGCAATCCTGAATCTTTCTTTGAGCTCACATGTTGACATTGTAAAAAACAAAACAAAAAACAGCAGTAGTGACCGGAACCAGTTTTGTTACATGCAGCCGTTCAGGAGGAGCGCCAACGAGCCAAGGACAGAAATGAGAACGAGGTGGAGTCCACCAGCTGCGCCAATGAGGACATGCCCGTGGAGAAGATCCTGGAGGCGGAGCAGGCAGTGGAACCCAAAACCGAGACCTACATTGAGACCAACCTTGGTGTGCCATCCAACTCGGTGAGTTGGTACTTTTATACGTGCTTTGGCAAACAGTCACATACTGTGTCATCACTTTGAGTACATGTCCATGCCTATATGTGGCACATAAATACACACACATACTCACAGTGGGTGATCATTAGTTCTTGGACCGTGTTTTCTGTAGTAGTTGCTTGTGCATTTATTTGGGTATTTAACTGAATGGTTGTTCGTCTCCATTCTCACCCACTATAAACTCAACCTGACTACAAATTAACAATGAAAATGGATGATATCAGAACACAGCTTCTCTTTTTGACTGTGGCCATTGTGTAGGCACAATTAAACACTGTGTGCTGATAGAGAAGATAATCGACTCACCTTTATCACACATGCCTGCTATTTTAAGATATCAGAACAGAAGTTGTGTATTATTGCTGGCCTGGTAGAAAGGATTTTTTAAATTTAAAAAAAAAAATGTATATGTTAAAGCCATGTATTTCTAATCAATTACATTTAATTACCCGCATGTTATAAGTAGTCTTAAAGTGTGTCTATATCCAGTGTACACTTCACTGTAGTATAGTGATTTTGCAGTCTTAAAAACTTAATGCATTATCTTCTGCTAATATGTAATGATAGGCCTATAAGACACTGAAACTGTAACTGTGTCCAAGTCTACTGCCAGTAAGATTTATAGAAAGGAAAGCAAAATGTTCTTCAGAGTTATGGCTTACACTTTATTTTCCGCTTTCCAAAATTGTACTGGAGCTTTCCCAACAATATCAACATTTTTTCTTTTCTCTATTTTTTTTCCCAGCTGCAAGAAGCTCTTATATCTCATCTTTCAGAAACATAACACTTTAAAATGAATCTGCATACTGACATCTGAGCACATGATGCAGTTTTGTCATTCATAGTGTAAATATGGTACTCATTGTCCAGTTAGAATTGTCATATAGGTTGAAATCAGTACATGCTATTTGAAAAGCCTTATATTTTCTCTGTTTCCAGTAATAAAGTCTAAGATTGTCTAAGAGTCTAAGATTGACAGTCAGGAAGTTTATCAACACCCTGCTGCCTGCTGCTAAATATGTTGATGAATTCTGGGTGTGATTACTGTTTGTCCTCCCTTTTTTAGTCCCTTTGGAGGTGACTGCTTGTAATGAAGTGCGCTGGTTTACCTGTACCTTGTATCAGCTACTAGACTCAGCTGTGAGTTTCCTCATCTATTGCCTCAGTATCAGCTGGGCACTGTGGGCTGTCTTTGACACAGAGGAGACTGAAAGTGATGAATAATGCAACAGGCAGACTGTTCCTGAAAGCATCCCACAAAGCCTCAGCTTTCTCAGGAATTCTGCTGGAACCAGAGAAAGAGTGGAGCTGTGCAGTAGCCTAGCAAAGGAGGCGGGGGGGAGGGTGAGACTGAAGCAAGGAGGGGGAGAGAGGAGAGAGGGCTTCTTCTGGGATTCATCTGCTTCAGGGGGAGGGAAATGAAGTAAAGGTAGAAATGTGAAGGCTGTTATGTGAGTAAATGGGAGCTATTTTGGGGGCCCAGATGGAAACGTAGGAGATGAGCGTTGACATTAGGGAGACGGAGAAAGAGTGGGAAGTCGCCGGGGAACGGCTGGCAGCTCAGACACACTAATGCACTGAGTGTGTTTGGGCTCAGCCATGGTGAGTCCCTCGATGCCCGCTGCCTGCTGAGGAGAGATGAAAACAGCACTGATATACGGATGTACAGGGCTGAGAGTTTGGTTTTTCCAACTTAAAGTGGAAACATAGTAGGACGTTATCATTGTCCAAATTCCTGACTCAGCTCAATTTGTAATTACAGTAGAAACACAACTTTATTTGTTTGTTTTAAAGTATGAAACGTTTGGTCTAATGTAATGCATAACAGTAGTGCTTTAAATTGGATCAGTTTCATTTTGCAATCTAAAATGCAATTTTGCACGTATTTAACCTAACGTGAAATCTATTTATAGAAGAGACTCTCCCTATTTATATATAATGTTGATTTGAACCAAATTTGGTACAATAGCTTTGTGGCTCACCAATCTTTTGGTGATTACTTGATGCATCATCATTTCCTGAATATCTCTTTGAACATTGCTTAAGTTATGCGTCATGCTTTTTTTTTTTGTAAATACTGCTGCCAAGACGTTTCTTTCATATTTAAAGGGTCACTTTACCAAATTCAGAGCATTGCACCTAGAGGTCAAGTATCTAGCATTGCCCATGATTTGGGTTATTGGTTTTGAAATTTTCCTCTGAAACTTGGCTGCCACCCCTATACATTAGAGCTGGAAGGATTTAGGTTTGAGTGTTTCAAACATCATTTTGGAGTTCTTCTTGAGTTCCTCTTTTTGAGTTCTTAGCCCTACTAACAAATCTCCGTTCACCTCCACTGTATTAGAGTGGCAGCAGAGATCTCAAGATACTCAGAGGTGCTCTGGTGGGGCAGGTGTGCAGTTTCTGTCCACCACAGCTAGGATGCACAGTTTAATTGGTGGCCATATTGGAAAGCCAGGGAGGGCCGTTGTCCTTGTCCTCACACTAGCAACTGGTTGGTTAAGCCCTCTTGCTGATGTTCATCTCTGGCAGGTGGAAACAAGTGGCTGGTGATGCCATGAGACATGGAGCACATGTTCTGTCTGCAGCCATCCACAGTCCAACAGCAGTGACAGGGACAGCAGCGCAAAAGCCATTAGGTATTCCAAATGGAGAAAACTGGGGAAAGAAAGTAAATTAATCGGGGAGGAGAGAAATACTTACTGTATCTAAAACCTGGGCAAATAAGACTGAAAGTATCTATTAGGAGTAAGCAAGAAAAACAACTTTTTAACCAAACTAGAGCCCAGAAGAGCATCGGCTGGTTGTCCACTCCCCTTTCCCTGGAGTCCGGTCCCTCTGCAGAGACCTCACAGATTAGCTGATGATCTATCCACGCTCCAACATGAGGACGGTAAAAAAGTGGGACACTTGACTAATTCATTTTCATACTGATCTGTATGAGTACCCAATTTTCTCTCGGTTGTCACGCTAGTATAGTCTGGTTCAAGCAGAATAATGAAAAATTGAAAGGCAAGTCTTTCGTCTCCCCTTCTCAAGTGATGAAAATTTCATAGGACAGTATGCAAGCCTGGCATTTCTCTAAGTTGCTGGGATGATCGACTATGGCGGTGGAGTGTGCGTGGCTATATACCCTTTGATTTGCTGGGATTGAAGACAGAGTTGTTTGTGGCTGGCATTTAAAAAAATCTGCTGAAGGGGCTAAAATCCAGTAACTTCAAAGTTCTTCTCTTACCTTCTATCTCAAGTTTCACTTTTTGTCAGAGGGTCCTCCCACTTATTTGCTTCCTATTTGTCAGCTGTAATCGTTACAGTGAAAGAAGTAGCTCTTACAGTTGAGTTGCAAGGTAATTCCCAGGTGGAGGTTAATGATATTCTCTCACAGATCACAGTGGGCTCCTCCATTGTGGCCCGATAACATCCTAAATGCTGCCTGTGACTTGAACAGTAAGTACAGTAATGTGACGCCTGAGGATTGTTGCTGGAGAGTGTAAGCTCCTCTCCCCTGTCATCTCCGCAGACAGAGGCAAAGAAACCAGGTCAGTGTAAACACGGCTAAGATAGCCATACAACTTTCATGAGGCTTGCCATGTTTAACGAGAACCCTGGGACTTGTATTCTTATGAGGGGTGGCTCAACTGTGGCGCACACTGAAGCCCCTTTTGGGTTTTCTTTGTTTTGGCTGGGGCTGCCCTTTGGAAGGAATTAGCTGAATCTGTTTATGTGTTTTTGAGAGGAAGTGCAGCTCATGAAAAGTGTCGCGCTGAGCTGCGCCGTCCACGTCTCCCACGGAGATCAGATGCTGAAATATTCATAGGATGCCTGTTTTCTTTCTCCCCCCGAAGAAAAAAAAAAAAAAGGAAGACTTGCAGCTCTCAAAACAGTGTAGGCTTTGTGTCTGCTTTACGTTTTTCATATCTGTGATACTCTGCAGTCAGTGTGAGTTTCACACCGTAGGGAGGGAACGCGGAGGAGAGGAAGGGATAGTCTTTGGCCCGCATATTATAAGAGGAGAATGTGAGTAGAGGGATGTTTTCCCCTTCATCTTGAACTAATCTTCTCTTGAGAGCTGCAGTTGATGTCGGGATCCTCAGAGCTTTTAGCATCGATTGGTGGGATTTGGAGAAGGAAGTTGGGGAGAAGTTGCTGACGGTTTTTGTCGGAGTGTGAGTTCACACAGGGATACTTGGAATTTAAGGATGTTTACTTGATTTAAAATTATGCAAAGCATGTGCACAAAGTCTTTGTTTATATACATGCATATCGAGGGATATGTACTCCTGGGATGATGACGAGTAATTGTCAGAGGTTGACAGTATTGTTTGGGATTTTTTTCCCCCTTTTTTTTTTTTTTTTTTTATTTATTTTTTTTTTTTGTTTTTTTTTTTTTTTTTTTCCCCCCCTTCTCAAAAACTCCCTTTTGGTTAAAAAATTTTCCCCCCCAATTTTGTTTTTGGGGAGGGGAGAGGGAGTCTTTGGACTGGCACTTCAGTTGCACACAGAAATGATCATCTCATTATTATGATTTACATATTCTTCAGGTTCAGGTTCTGTTTAGTTCTAGTTTGCTTTAATTTTTAGGACAAGAAAAGAAACCCTCTGAGTAAATTAAATAATTCAACAATTGTAAGGACCAGAGTATAATTCCTGGCATAGAAAAAACATTTGAGAAAACAGCTTTTAGACCATAATGTAGGTTCTAAGACCCAGTCAGCAGCCTTTTTCATTGGTAAATGAGGGTTTACTTGATTCCAAGGGAGCTGAACTTTTATACTAATTAAAAGGTTGAAGAGGTAGGTGATTTGCAATTGAAGACATTTTTACATTTAATGGAGAATTCTTACAAAGTATATCTACAATGTTCACCACAACACTTCAACTATTTAAGCCCCTAAGCGATGAGAGGCTTCTTAAAAGCATATGCACAATGTCTTACATAACATTAAATGAAATAATAAATGTGTCCTTGTCTGTAGCCAATCCTACTTCTGACATTCCTCCAGCTTTTCTGCTCACCTCTTCTCAAAGTAGATCTAATGAAGAGAAAACGATTGTAGCTTTGTCCTTGGTTCACTTGGACCTTTTATTTCATGAAGAACTAGGCAGTCTTTCTGTTGTGGGCACTGAATGGACAATGTGACAGCCCACTCCATTACCAAGAACTGCTTCTTCTTTATGTTTTATCAAAATCAAATGTATTTTGCCTTCTCAGAAATGATGGCCTTAAATGTCGACAATTATTCTTCTGAACAGGTATTACTTGGAAGGTACTTGTAAATCTAAAAATAGATACACTATCCCACTATGAATGCACACTAGCTTTTAATAGATAATACAGTAAACTTTTGTTTCAGTCATATTACATTGAGAACAATCATACACTCATTTTAAGTTTTACTCAGAACAAATATGGATAATCATTAAACACAATCATTTGCTGAGTGTTATAAAGCCCTGCCTTGTCTGGTAATAAAGTCCCATTTGAGCTCCTAAGCGCTTGTTATGTTGTGAAGCGTCAGTAGAGTGTCAGGAGGGGCCTCTGGTGCTCCACTAGCTGTCCAAAAGGCTGATTTGTGTGTCTGCTAAAAGGTCCCCAAAGAAAGAGTCTGTTTGGTGAAAGTGTTTTTTCACCGGCAGCTCTCTGCAGGTATTTCCTCCACGAGCTGTGACAGAATCACAGTTTGTTTTGTCTTCCTACTAGCTCCTCTTTAGAGGATATTATTCATAGCATACTAGTCAAACGTTCTCACTCTAAGCGTTAATGTGCACGTGGTGATAGGTGGCTTGACCTGACACCAGGCTCTCAGCCAAAAGAGAGCCACGGACTGTAAAACATAAATATGACACCTTTTCATTTCATGCATTACCTGGATTTCTAACTTTCAGATTTGTGTCTGTTTTGTATCCGTTTCCCTGCAGCCGAACGACCCAGTGACAAATATCTGTCAGGCGGCTGATAAACAGCTCTTTACGCTGGTAGAGTGGGCCAAGAGGATCCCCCACTTCTCTGAGCTGCAACTGGACGACCAGGTGATCCTTCTACGAGCAGGTAGGTTAAAATTAGTTAAAATTTTTTTTTTTTAAAAAAGCTAAATGAAGTGTTTTGCACAAACTGACTGACATAAATGATAATTTTATTCCATAATGACCTCTCCACAAGATATGTGGATTCAGTCACATATGGAAAAAAAAGAGAAAGAAATGGAAAAACTCATGGCACCCAGAAGTTGAGATCAAATACTGTACTAATAAGCAAACTCTGGCAAAAGCTTCAATACTACTTGAATGTAGCCATTATTATTTGAACAAACATAGCTAGATTGATATTTTCAATACTGAGCAGTTTTTTTACAGGCCCTGCACACCCATACATATGTTTTCAGTTTTTATGACAGATTGCAACACAGATAGGGTAGGTAGATTTGGCGGAGCTACTGTACAAGCTGAAGGTATAAGATGTACTGTAAGAGAGTGAAGGAAATGCCCATTCAGGACAGCACAGTTGTGAGAAGAGGTTAAAAAAGAGCAAATAGATGAGTGTATATACTATTGTTCAAAATAGTCAAATGTGAACATTTTGCTTTTTAGATAAAAAGGCAGTTATTTTGCTAGCATTCAGATAAGCATTTTTTTCCCCAACTCTTGGTTAAAATGTGTAATTTTTATGATCCTGTACAATAGTAGATACACATTGATGTTAGAATATAGACAGAAAAATTCAGCCATTGAAACAGTGTATAAGAAGACACACTGAACTGCTAGCGCTTGCTCTCGATCTGTAGCTAGGTAGAAAAATCTCAGCAAAACAGAACTGAATAGACTAATTTGGCCATAACCATGAATAACTCTCTTGGTCACGTGACTGAGAAAAGTGTTAGATCCACCAAGGTCACAACGGCTCACTGTGTGCGTCTACTGTATGTGGACAAGCAAGCTAACCACTCAGGATCACAGAAGCGGCAACAGAAAAACACACAGTGAATCATCTGTCACTTCTCTTATATCCACCAACATCACATGCAGGAAGGTCTTTCGGGTTCTCCCAACACATTGCCCTTGTTGCCTGCCTGTCGCTCCAAATTACCCCATTATATTCTAAACCCACCTTGAGGAAAAATAAAATGCTATTAGCCTACACACCCGTCTAATACTTTGAAAGAAAAAAAGAAATCCCCCCCATCATTCCTTAGCCTTCGCACATACAATGATGGAGAGACTTCAGCAAAGCAGAGAGAGACGTTATTCTGGAGAGCTCGTCTCTTCTCGGCTCTCAGGTTTTCTATAAATAACCGCTTTAGTTCTGCTGTATCACAGATAAAAGCGTCCCGGCTCCTCTCATACCCATCTCAACTCTGGGGAGAAGAGGCGAGTGTTGCCAGGCAGAACAGTTAAAGGAGCCCTGTCACTCAAAAGGCAGCGTCTTGTGTCTTCAATGCTCTCTGTGTCAAGCCCCTGCTTTGGCACATCAAGCCTGTTGTCTTTATTGTTATGGCAGGCGCAGTTCATCCCTTTTACACGCTTGTCTCTTCAGAAAGCATGATTCAAATGTCTTAGTAATAACCTGATGCCTGCGCTTGAGAAAGCTGCACGCTTTTACTGCGCAGCTTAATTGATTCATTGGAATTCCCCCTTCTGTTGTCAGTTTCATTTTGCTTGAATGCTGTGTGAACTTTTGTACTGGGATTTTTCCTTCATACTGTTCCTCGATCCCTCTCCCCGACTCTGCCGCAGGTTGGAATGAACTCCTCATTGCATCATTTTCGCACCGTTCGATAGCGATTAAAGATGGGATCCTCTTGGCGACCGGGCTGCACGTCCATCGCAACAGCGCCCATAGTGCTGGAGTGGGAGCCATCTTTGACAGGTCATTATTGCCATGTTAATAAACTTTCTTGTCATTGTGTTTAAACTAGGTGCAACCTACAGCCACCACTTTAAATATTTTAGATACCATTTTCTAATATAACATATTATATAAGTAGTTTATGAATTCTACCTAACTGGCTTTATTAGTGGTTAATAAATAAATAAATAAATAGGTCAGTAATAACCCATTTAGGACAACATGGTTAACCAGATTATGAAAGAAACTGGCTGGTAGCATAACTGTCTTTGGGGTATAAGGTAGTTTATTAATGGCTTACTACTGCATTGTTTACTGCGTTGCATTAATAAATAATGTATGAACTATTATAAATGTATGCACACCTTAGTGTAGTAATGTCTTATTTAAAAGTGGTGTAATTTTAGGCATAATTAAGTAGTAACTACAAGTTTGTTAATGATAATAAATCATTGATAAATGCTTTATCAATCAGTAATAAGCTATTATTAACAAGAATTTTTGGGTTGAAAGGCTTCGACAAACTATTTAGACCAGTGTATGTGCTCCTTCAGCATAATTAGCTTTGTCTTTATAGGTAGCTCAAAAGTTTACCTTATTAATACCTTATTACAGCTCTATAAAGCATTATTAAATGATTTATTAACTAATTATACATGTATATTAAGAATGTCTTGGTAACATGTTAGGCATATGAAGTTGTAACTAATGCTTTGTTAATGATAATAAATAATTGATTAATTATCAATCAGTTTTAAGCCATTATTAACAATAACCTTTTTGCTTGCTAGGTTGTGTATGCGTGTATATACTCCTGCTGTAAAACTTATTATAAAAAGTTATTGCCATATTAGTGATCTATAAAGCAATAATAAATACTTTGTTATCTACTAATAAACATTAGTCACGGCTTCAAACAGCATTTGATAAAGATGTTTCAGTGGTTTCATGATATGCAGCATAGTAAATGTTTGTTCCAGTGAAATATCACACCTAACCCTGAAGTCACAAGCGTGCTTTATGAAAGCAGCGCAGGAACTATTGATTGACTCCAGTATATAAAATATGTACACCCGCGTGCATCAGGGGTCACACAGAAACACTGAACTGCTGAGAAAAAATAAAAAATAAAAATCCATGCACAAGTCACTCACTGTGAAGTCGGGTGTGTGCACGAACCACCCTGGTGACCATTATTGACTTTCCAGCTGTCTGACAGACTGAAATCTCACATGAGTCTGCAGTGTCTGTTCAGCAGCATCACACCTCGAGCTGAACTGAGATACACAAATTGCAGAGTTCAAAAAGATACAAGCAGTATGTTTTTTATATATTTTTTTCATTTTAGGTTTTTATTGAGAAATATTGAACCATTCTGGGCTGGTGATCAATCATTCGCTTATCTTACCAGATAATATATCAGGTGCTGTCCTCAAACCCATATTAACAGCAGCCCTCTTCTTCTCCAGCCTCTGTGCTCAATCATCTGCCACAGGACATCTTCCATCTCTGGGCATTAACTGTGGCAAGCATTAAGATACAGCAAACTGATAGTTTCTTTATCTACTCCTCTCTCTCTCCACTGCACAAATGAAGAGGCTGATTAACTTAAACACTTGAGTCTTGTCTTTTCCGTTTCTTTTTCTTTCTTTTTTTTCCTTTTCTAGCCCTGTTGTTCCTCCTCAGAGCAAATTGAATTAGAATGAGCCACAATTGACTTTACTATCCGAGTGAGTTGGAGGGGGCAGAAAGAAACGGAGTGAGAGGGAAAATAAAGAGCGGCTGAGGAGAGGGTGTGACCGAGTCAAAGAGGGGTGAGGAGTTCGAGCGACTCCACGCGCTGACACTCCCACCAGTGATGTCACACGCAGACAGTGGGAGTGCTGGTGTTATATTACAGCTTGTGTTTACTCTGTGGCTTTCCTTTTATGAAAACCATGTACTAAATATAATTACTTTGCAGGGTTGTAAACTTTTCCACTGATCTAACTGTGCCTATGTGGGCTGAGAGTATGCTTGTGTGTATTTGTTTTTAAATAGATTCGAGCTGGATAGTATTTAAACCATATTTGTGTGTGTGTCATTTACAAAAATGTACCAATTAGACTCAAATGGTTTCCTGTGATCTTAACTCTTCTGGCACTCGTTAGTTTGTCTGATATAACACGAAAATAGCCTGGTAGCCAAGACGGATTAAAGAACCCGATGTCGAATGAACCACATCTTTAACTTTATTTAATTTTTTTCTCTTTTGTACAGGGTGCTCACAGAACTGGTGTCAAAGATGAGGGACATGCAGATGGATAAGACAGAACTGGGGTGCCTTCGAGCTATAGTCCTTTTCAACCCAGGTAACTATCGCTACGTGTGCGCTTTCATTTGCTGCAGCAGTTGAAAGAAGCTGCGAACTAGCTGTTTCAGAGATGTGTAGGTTTTAAAACACCGTTCAACACTGTCTTTTTATTCTAGTTTCCATTCGACTTTGAACCAAAAACAATCAGCTGACAGTCAGGGAAATGTCTGAAAGCTGTTGCAGAAGGGGAAAGTAAAAAGTAACAAATATGTAATAACAGCCTAAAAGGTTCCTAGCTACATGTTAGGCATCAAAAACAGATATTTCAAGCGTGTGAATGCGCTGAGAGAACAATCAGAACTTTTATTCTAGTTCAAAGATCTTAATGTGCTTTTGGGCTGCCACTGTTTCTAGCTATAACCAAGAAAAACAACATTCAACTGACCTTAATATTGCTAGAATAGAATATGACTCATTAGAGGACCTGAAGCTTTGTGACACTCCACCTAAAATCTGTTTTTAAGTATCACACTCTCCTTCAGCGTGCTGGACAGCTGCCTGTAAAAAGAGTTAGTAGTTTTCTTCATTGACGCAGCCGGAATGATCGATTCCAATGGCAACAATCTTTAGTTGTCTTAGTCGTATTTTCTCACCAAAGTGTGGATAAATACAGCTCTTCAGGTGGGGCTTTCTAGCTTCGAGAAGGACGATCGTAGGGCACAGGAGCAGTGCATTCAGCCATGTGTACAGTGTACTTAGTATAAGGATGGAGAAGAGGATTATGCAGTAAAAAAATGTACCACTGGGATCCTGTAAATGACGGAATCTAGTGTGATCTCAGAAGCAAGGAAGCTACATATGTTTTACATCAACCTTTCAAGCCAGCTGGAGAGTTTTGATAGTCAGATTTTAGATTTTGGGTGGACTACCCCTGTAGGTCTTGAACTTGTGACTAAGCTTGACCTCATTAATATAACGTAACAATTGGGAACAGACTTTGGACTTGCCTTTGTTGTCTTTGAACTTGACTTTGGACTTCTCTTGAGAAACTGAGACTTGCTTGTGACTTGTAAAACTAATGTGGCTTCCCCTCTGCATAGCGCTGAGGTAGAACCCAAAGAAATCGGGTACAGTGCATATTTGATTGATGAACGTACTGAAGCAATGAATTCCTGTGTATTTTATAATATGACATTCTCGTGTGATTTTCCTTTTCTGGCAAATGTCAGGCCAAAGAAAGCTGACGAGTTTTCTCTTGCCAAGGCATGTGTCCCTCCTGCTATCAGCGTGCTGTTCTGTATTTAGACCTCATCCACATGGCGCTGATGTACACTAAACCAACCCATGACTGTAACCCAGGTTTTAATGACTCAGTGTGGGAGCCTCCCTCCATCCCTCTGGGAGCTCCTGTGGATCTGTTCAGCCCAGACACACTGATCCTCTGTGTTCCACATTTTGATCAGGACACATCCAGACCCACCGGCCCCGGTTCACTTCACGGCCTGATTCCTTGTTAATTAGGGGTTCACTAGACTGGCCTGACCGAGAAAGCAAAGGGTGGAGGAGGGGACGGCGAGGCTAAAAAGGCCCTCGGTCCTTCCTTTCCCACACTGTGCGATCGGGTCCAGCCAGTAACAACAAATGTTCATTCATTGTTGACCAGTTGTACAATGCTTTGTTCGTCAGAAATGTTAATCAATGACGTGTTTGTGTTAGTCAAAAATTAGTCCTCCAGTGAAGCTTAAATTAGCACGGCCTAATTGGACTAACCCAGAATGTGGTGACACATGCCCACAGTGAGCCTGCAGGGTTAAAACTCAACTTGTAAGTTAGTAAGGCTTTGCTCCCCATCATAAACTACTGCAAGGAGCTAAATGGCCTCAAATACAGGACTTCTAGATGGAAAAAGGCACATTTTCACAAACGTTTTTCCCCTCTGACAGCAGTTATATTTGCTGTTGTTGATTATTTTTTAATACTGCTTTTGTGTGTGTGTTTCCACAGACTCTAAAGGTCTGTCCAACCCCAGTGAGGTAGAAGCTCTGAGAGAGAAAGTGTACGCGTCTTTAGAGGCGTACTGCAAACAGAAGTACCCCGAGCAGCCTGGCAGGTATGGAGACAAACACAGAAATGACTGTACACATCCCCAGACGCTGGTTCTGAGATAAACTGTGCAATCTAAAGATAAAGAAACAGAAAAAGAGTGTGGCTTGCAACTTGTATTTATCTTGAGCTCCAATCCACACAGGCCTTCATCAAGTAAAAGTACAGTATCCACATAAGCAATTATTTTTATCAATACACTAGCTTTGGGTTCACTGTTATTAGATGCAATTGATTCCTTGCACAGATGTACTGCATATATGTATTAGTCTTTTTTTACCTGACTAAGGGGGTTGTGTGCATCAGATCATTTCAAAGTAATTTTATGTATGAGTTGCGAGCCCCACTCTTCCTCACTCTCTTCATACAAATTTTCTTGTCACTCTCTTCAGGCGTTTTTGATGAACAAATTGCATATTACATTAGTGAGGAAAAAAGTTGAGAGATTAAAGCAAAACAGTTTTTCAGCAATCTCTTTCAGAATATTATAATTCATTTCCCATCTGTTTGTTTGTTGTAACCTCACTGCACTCTCCTGACAATTAGCTGCTTGGATGCCAGATAGGTCTGAAAATAAGTAAAGAAAATGGCCTCATGCAACATTTTTTGATTCTTATCCAAAATCGGTCTTCCTTTTTTGGTTTGCCTGTATGAGGGGTTCCAAGTCGCATGACTAAATTCTCCTAACAGCACGAAATTGTTGTAAATCGATTGTTTCAGCCTGATAAACGCCAGCTGTTCAGGAGTAGGTGGACGTTTGTGAGATTGGATCATTTGCATGACCCCTAAATGTCTGTATGTGTATAGGTGTTGTGGGCATATTTCATTCACAAAAATGTTATCCAGTGGTAAAAACAAAAAGTTTCGGATAGCGCCTGCTGTCTGAAATCAGCAAACAAAAACAAAAGTTACTTAGAACAATTCCATTAGTTAAGTGCGAAGTGGCCCCACATGTGGCTGCTGCGCATTATATTAAAGGCCCTGTGGTATCAGTGTTTTTCTTCAGCATCATCACCCCATCTCTTCCTCTTCCTCTTCCTCTTGGATGTGTGACACTGTCTTGGTGTCTAATTTTTGTCCTGTGTGTTGTGACAGATTTGCCAAGCTGTTGCTGCGGTTACCGGCGCTCCGCTCCATCGGCCTCAAGTGTCTGGAGCACTTGTTTTTCTTCAAGCTCATTGGCGACACGCCCATTGACACCTTCCTCATGGAGATGCTAGAAGCCCCACATCAAATGACATAATAGTGTAGGGGGTTGAGCTCTCCCCCTCCCCCTCCTCCTCCCCCATCCCTCCTTACCCGTGTCTCCCACTCAGCCCTGGATCAGGAGCGGGGGTCGTTTTTAAAAAAAAAAAAAAATCTCCTCTCCAGCAAGGGACTGATCACGTGATGACTTTGGATGGAGAACCTGTCCCTCCCTCGCTTCTCTCCTCGGCTCCCCTTGATGTGTTTTAAAACAGTGAATTCTTCATGTCTATGGGTCTGTTTTATACCTTGTAAAAATATATAAATAAGAAATATATATATATATGAAAATCACACTGCAACACGAGTGACAACAGTGGACTGAAATAAGGTCGGACAGAGGACAAAAGAAACGTATTGAGCCATTGTTTTCATCCTTGCTTTTCCTGCACCTCGACAAGAAAAAGCAGAGATGATCAGGTTTTAACACCCACAGTTATGCTTAAAAAAAAAAAACTTAAAAAAACCAGCGGTGATGTCACATTCGGACACTCGGCGTTGTGATCGGGACAATCGTGGACTGGGAGAGAGCGTCAGGCTGTCTGGACTTGGACCTGAACCCTCTCCCTCTCTCTCTCTCTTTCAGGACTGAACTTAACTTCGGAGAGGGAACAGCGGGCCGGGGGGGCAACACGTCTACTTAAAGGAACTCCTGCCTGACTTGACTGAACACGTCAGGTCTTGCACTAGCTGTTTTTGAGGTGTGAGCTTTCTGGAGTAGAACTCAAGAGGTGGGTTAACAAGACTGTAAGTGCTCAAGAAAAAAAAAAAAAAAAAAAAAGAAAACCTCAGGTCTCTGCCCAATTCCAACAAATACAACCATGTCTTACTCTATTAGCACTGTGCAACACCGGGGGGGACGACATATTAGTTCACTAATCAGCCTTTCAGTTAATGTTAATTGGTTGAACAAGAGTTGGGAGAGCTTGTTATGTACAATCTGTGCAGTCCGTCTGCACGCAAGAAGACGCAGGCTGCTGTAGATTAGCCACACGTTAGCTTTATGCTACATGATGCTCTGAAAGGCTACCAGCAAGGCGCCAGGAACAACTTTTGTCATCCTGTCTCAAACCTTTGGCCTGTGTCGCAACCTTACAGGTGATCGCGACAAACTCGGACGGCTGGCCTCTTCACCGGCCTCTGAGCTCCTTCTCCGACCCTTCTCCGTCCCTTCTCCGACTCTTCTCCGACCCTTCTCCGACCTCTCCAGTTCTCATTTCATGTGAATTTCAGCACACCATTTACACCTCCACACTCAGAAATCCCTCTGCTCGACGCAGCGGGTGTTAGCTTTTTATTATTATTTTTTAAACACCTCATATCTACCTGTACAGTACAGAAAGTTACAACCGTATTCAGTATTGACGTTATTTCACTTTTGATTTTAACAGCAGCGATGCACAATTACCTCTGTTTCCATCCCTCCGACCTTCAGCTCTCGACACTCATTTTAAGCATTTACAGTATGCGGGAGAAGCGCTCGTCATTGCAGCAGAGCCATTATTTGTTTGTTTGTTTGTTACTTGGCACTTAACCTCATGACAGCGGAGTCGGGTTCCTAAACGGAGAGCTGATGTTGATGTAATCGACCTCTGAGGTGGAATTTGGCCCGGGGCCCAATCAGGAACGCCCCAATTGTTTTTCTCCTCAGAGGGACACACACACTTGCTCTCTCTGCACTTCTCTGGACAAACAAGTGTCGTTCAAGTCAAACTGAAATGTTAAATATCTCCATGTTGTGTATAAATATGCTTTATGCCCATATTCTACTTTTTTGTTTTTTCTCCTGTCCTTTTTCTCTAAATGCTGCAGCTGCTGCAAAACTATGCATCAAGTGCATTTCCAAAGATTGTCCAGAGAGCTGGTGCATGTTAGTACGGCCTAAAACAGGTCTGATACCTTTTTAAAAACAAGTGTTTGTGAGATGTGGGTCTGCTGTAATATTTTCCTGGCCTGGAGTACCGTTTTTTATTTTTTCCCCCGCCCACTGTTCACATACACACACACAGCAAACAACCAGCTATCAGCCCTCATTCCAAAGTGTTTTATGGAAAGGTGGAGCATAGCGGAGATTAAGGTCATGTTAAATAATAGCTATTGCTGGGTATGATATGAGGAAAAAAAACAAAACAAGGAAATCAAGGATTTTCTTTCTATATCTGAATATTCACCACTCTTTAATGAGCACCTTGACACTATCTGGACCTAAAAGGAAAAAAACAAACAAACCTTGAACACTTTGTTTGATGATCCTTTGATAAACTCAGAGGGTTAATGGTCTGAGGTGTATGGAGTCTTGAGTGTGCCACTACAATAATCACATTTTTAGTGTTTAAGTTCAACAAATTCAACAAAATATAATTTTGACTTGTATTTAATAAAAAAAACACGCACAAATAATTGGTTAATTAGGAATTGTATTACCTTTTTAACAATTGTCTTGTTTTAACATATAGTTTCCATTTTGTGATTGCTTTCATTAAAGTGTCACTTTAATGAAGTCCAAACTACACCGCAGCAACAGGAGCTTTTATTAGCCAGCTATTGGTTTGTAATCCGCCCTCAGAGCTTAATTTATTATTCCTTTTTTCAATTTAATTCAAGGTTAGGGTCAATTAAGTCTGAAAATTGTATCTGGTGGCACTGTCAAAACTCCATAGAAGTGTTGATGCACACCGAGACATCAATGCTACATCGACCACCTCTGTGCAACCGACACCCAATGATCTCTTTACTTCTGAGGAAAAACAAGCAAAGAGTTGGTTGAGGATGCCGGCTTTGAAACGTCACATACTGTACAATATTTCCTCTGCAGTCAGGGAGCAGTTTGGGTAAGACGCGGATAAGCAAGGGACGTGGCGGCTGTTTTCAGAGCTGTGGGCTCCCTCTAGTGGAAGAGAAGCAGCACTGCAACATTACTTGAATTTTTTTTTGTACAAGTATTTAATGAGACAAAAGGATGGCACTTTCTCACAGCGTTATCATCGACGTTCCTCTCGATCAGACAAAACCTCAGTGTCTGTGCTTGTTAAAACTGAAAGAAGCAGCAATAACTTCAGTATGACCTATTGGCTTTATTGTTTTATTATCACTGAGGTGGCCTGTATTATCACAAACTATCCAGGTGACAGTATTAACTGCCAGTTTGAGCTCAGTTTACAGTATTTATATCCTGGAAAAAATATGCTTGTCAAAACAAAAAAAAAGGAAATTTTTCATTGTTTTTCAACTTCAGCATTTTGGCAAAGAGAAACTTTTTTTTTTCTTTTTCTAAGAGGAATATTGCCAATTTTAATCAAGAAAAGCAGTTCTCAAGCAAATAAGTTTGTTTTTCCACTGTGACCCAACTTTAAAATGAATATCCTCCTGTTCTATGAAGTCTGATGTCTCCCCCTCTTTAGTTTACTGTGATTGGTGACCGCAGGTATCTTAAGCCATAAAGTGGATGAAGTGCGAGCTCACTCCCCTGCAAGAAATGAACTGACAAGGATCTCCTTGTCGGGATAAAGAAAGGATCGCCCACGTAGAATGATTACCTACACGAATGCTTTATAACATAAAGCTATATTTTGTTAATATGTATATGTGTATATATTTATAAATATATATCGACAGATCTGTTCCTTGAGTATTTCCAACGGTGAAAGAGGGAGACAAGTCTTTCAGACCAAACTGTTCCGCGCCAGGTGTTCAACTAGAGTTTTACGGTGGGCTTTTTTTCACAAGTTTCTGAGGGTTTTTGCATTTTCCACCTCGACTTTATAAAATCGATCCTGATCAACCAGCAAGAATCGCAGCAGCTCTAAACTCAAAAGAACCAGCTTCTTCTCAGCAGATTATGGGACCTCAAAAAAAAGAAAAGAAAGGTGAAGACTTTAAACCCTCCAAAATGTATGTGTTGCTTGGCAATTGTATGTTCAAAAAGTGTAATCAGGAAAAGCTGAGCTTGTGACACAATCACTGCTTTCTTTGTTGCATTGACCGTAAAAAACATTCAAGTGGAGAAAAAAAAAAAGAAAGGAAAAAAAAAAAACACTTGAAAAAAGATCTATTTTTGTACAAAGGTAATTTTATCCCTTGCTTGTGTACTCTGTTCTTTCCCTTTTCTTCTGTGGGCTGTTGTATACGTTGTGGAAAAGCTTATTCAATGAGGCAAGAGACAATTTTCAGATTGAAAATTTAAGGTGAGAGGAGTCGTCGGCTTTGGCACCTTGGTAGCTGTCGCCTTTACTTTGCCATTTTCAGCCTGTCGCTGCAAGACGGGGACGTCTTCTTTCATTATATTTTTGTCTGTTTTTAAAAGGAGATGGAATTTTGTCATCTGTTCTTTGTGGGTTGTTCTGATGTTCTATCTTTCATGGACAGAAAAAAAAAGGTTATTAAAAAACTTAAAAGTGAGATCGACTGATGCCACTTGATTCCGTGCACGCAGAGGCATGACGACGCGGCAAACGTGAAACATACAAAAACTGGTTTTATTAAGACGCAGGTAATAGCTGTCAAATGCAAACATATATTCCACAAAATCCAGGTTGACTACAGAGAACAGACGCTGCTGGCTTCGTGTGCAGAACTACAGTATGAGCTAATCAAACAGAAGAGAACGTAATAAAAGAAAACACAGCTGAAACAGTCAAATCACATTACATGTCATTATAATATGTACAAATCCTAGAACACAAAACTGCATTTGGTCACAGTTGTAAGCTGTAAAATGTTAAAATTAGACTTTTTTTTTTAACAGGAGGGGGTTTTAACTCAACGCTCCAGTAGGACTGTAAAAGTAAAGTTTTTTTTGTAGCTTTCAAACAATTAATAGTGACATCATGAATCACATCCTCTTGAGGCATCTTTGACTTTGTTCATGCACTTAAAATGCTGGTTCGTTGCCCTAATAACACATCTGGTTATGGCACACAGCGCTTCACTGATCTGGCATTTGATATTAAGGAGAAAAAAAACACTAATAGTGGTGCCACCTGAATAAATAACAAATGGATCCTTTAGATATCTTTTTTTTGTTTTGTTTTTACTGAAGGCTTGATGTCATTCAGACGGTGCTACACGATTATACAGACAAATGAAAAAGGCAAAAGAAATCACAGAAAGGCCAAATAACCATTACATTTATTGTACGAGAACAGAAATGCCATGTGTGTGAGTCGGTATGGCCCAAAGTTGATGCAGTGTCAAAAATACTGAAGCACCAGAACCAGGGTATCAGTGTTGTTACATTGATACCCCGGCACGCGTTAACACACGCCCACTGCTGCACTGACTCTGGGCTGATACTCCGGGCTGATGTGTCTCATTTGGTTCTCCGTGCTGAATTTCATTACCTGAAAGCCCCTCCGCGTCCCGCAGGAGCTCTCTGTTAGAAAACAAGTCCTCTTTTCTTACAACAAAACGTAGAAAAAAAATTATATATATAAAATAAAAAAAAAAGGAAATATGAATGGCCTGGAAGATCCGAAAGGGCTTAGCAGTCGCTTTTCCATAGCTTGATGGTTTTGTCATTTTCTAAAGCCGCAGATGCGATGATGTTCTCTGTTGGGTGGCAGGCGGTCGATATGACGACGTCTGAAAAGAGGAGACGAGAAGGAAAACTGAAAACGGTTCTGAGAACGACATCGAAGTTTTATAAACACATTACACCCACAATACAGTTTATACACACACACACACACACACACACACACACACACACACACACACACACACACACACACACACACACACACACACACACACACACACACACACACACACACACACACACACACACACACACACACACGTCTTCAAAATGAGTTTAGTCTCTGATCCTTATACAGATCTGCATAATCTTTAACCCAGTGCTTACTGACAGACAGCTGACCCTGCAGCAGGCGTGTCTGTGTGTGTGTTTAAGCTTAGTAAGACTTAAATGTGTGCTTTCAAACACAAAGTAATGTCCCGAAGCGCGTCTTCCTCTACCTGTGTGGCCCTGCAGTTTCTGCACGATCTCCTTCGTCTGCAGGTTCCAGATATAAACCATGTTGTCCTCGGAGCCCGACACAATCCACTGCAAGAGAGCGGACGCCGGGTTACACTTGGCTGTACGCACCATGCATTTCAGAAGCGTAATGCATGAATGTACAAACTGAGCAGGAGGACGTTTATTAAAACAATGAAACTTATAGGACTAAACAAACATATCGCGTGCGTTACATTAAAGAGCAACTGTTCACACTCGCACACGCTCATAGTAACGAGAGCTCTTACCTTCCCGCCGGTGACGGAGAAATTTGCAAATATGCAGTACTTCTCATTTTTATGGCCGGTGTACGTTTTCAAGCACTGAAATGTTGGGAGAACAATGAAGAGTTAAATATCTGCTGAAGCAGAAGCATCAACAACAGAAGTATGTAGGTATTTACAAGTAAACAAATAGCATTTTGTTATCCCCTAATGCAAAAAAACCCTAGAACATTAAAGGACATCAATGACCATTATCAGCAATAAGATGCCAGTGGAGTATCTGAGTCTTTATATGTGTTACATCTATATGTTTACATTCATATACACTGCTCCAATAATGAATTATAAAATAACATCCTATTTCAAACTGAGTTGTCGTACCTTTCCTTTGCTGTAGTCCCACAGCTTCAGCGTGCTGAAAAGTGAGCACAAACACAGCAGTTCATGTGTTAAACAACTTCCTGCAAAACAACTGTGTAAAAACAATAAATCGTATTCATTTCATCTTTATATAAAACTGCAGCTGAGGACAGCCTTTTCTAGCACCACGCCGCCACCTGCTGGTGAAGGACTGGTAAAAGAGGGCTGATGAACAACACAGTGAGCAGTTTATAATAGAGAGCAGCACTGAGTTCACTCTCCTGCAGGAACAGAACGTAATACTCACTTATCCAGTGTAGCTGCCAGGATGTATTTCCCGTTGGGGGAAAACTTCACAAACGACACGGGAGGGTTGTCATCGTCTAATAAACACAGCGACAGAGGCACCGTCAGCACACAAACAATCAACAACAATCATACCAAAATACCTAATGCAGGCTAGTCTTTTTCACACATTTTATGATCTGTAGTAAATGCAACAGTGTCAGTGTAATCTTACCTATGAGCGTCTTTAAACACTGCCCCGATGCTGTGTCCCAGATTCGGCTGAGAGTGTAAAAAAAACAAAAGAACACCATTGTTTATCAAGGGTTATGACAGCGAATAAACAAAAATCATGTGAACAGAACTGGACGCAGAAGTTAAGACGCAAGTCATCCACAACCGCTACACCTTTCAACAAATCCTTCAGTTTGACTTTCACATGGGAAGTGTTTGTGTAAAAGGTTTCAAAGAGCTGTTACGCAATCAAGATAGAAAATAAATAAAAAGAGGCAGCAGTGAAAGACAGCGATGACAAATATGCAGCGGGGCATTTATTCCTTCATGGAAGAAAGATTGAGCACGACGGCACAAATATGTACCGTGAGGAGCGCTGCCAGGCCAACCAGAGCCACAACAGCTGTCACACACGCAGACAGCAGCCGCGCTACAGTCGATACACAGTTCTAATAAAGTGAGTTGTAGTTGGTTTTCACAGTGTCGAGATGCTTTAAGATACTATATTACACAAACTGAGTCACTGTAGCTGCCCCTAGTGGTCCAAAAACAACAGCCAAATCAAAGATGATGAATAGAAATGGTTCTCACCAAAGGCCGTCATAGCTACTGGACACGATCAGGGAGCCGTCTCTGTTGAAATGGACCTGCACGCAGGGACACAGAATCACGTTACTGGCACCTTGTCAACCTTTAAAATCCAGAAGATTCTTCAGATTTGAAGAATGAAAACAAACTTACGGCCGAGACAGGATCGGAGTGAGCCGGCAACGTTTTCAAACATTTCCCGGTCTTCACGTCCCATATCCTTACGCTCTCGTCAAACTGGAAACAAAGAGAAAAAAAAAACACACCTTTTATATTTTTCCCCCCCTCACACAAAACGACGCGTGACATGCGTATAATGCTTTGGCAGAGGTCTGACATCTGTTTCCCATTCGCCGCTTGTTGGATGCCAAAAGCTCGGTACTCACCGATCCTGAAACGATAAGATTGGACTGGGGGTTGAAGTTGCAGCAGAAGACGTAGTTGCTGTGACCTTTTAGAGTTTTTAAGCATTTTCCCTAGATGAAAGAAAGACGAGTTGAAATGTCACATTCTTAGACATAACAAAATAAAACAAGACTGGAAGCGCAGACGGTGTTAGAGCTGCAGGTAAGTGCAGCTTTAATGGTGATTAAACTTTTACAGCAGGAACGGCAGATATGAATCTTAAAATTGTGCATGGATTTCATTTTCTTACTTCATGAATGTATAATGCTACAAGACACTGTCAGCCCTAACAATCACATTCTGCCCTTTACCGCATGTTCTGTGATTCAATAACTCATATCACTGAAGTGAGATAGTCAGTGCGATGGTGAGGAAATGTCACACGAGTTCGAACACGAGAGCGGTGCAGTGTTCGTCTGCTCTTACCGAGCTGACGTCCCAGATCTTCAGGGTTTTGTCGTCAGATGCAGACACCAGGAGGTTGGAGTCGGAGGACCAGGCCACGTCAGATATACCCTGCAGATGCATGGGGGACAGTTAGGAACAGCATGGCTTTGATTGGGATGGCAAAACTGGACCCAATGTAAATACGAGTAAAAAGAACCACGGCTCGCTCCAAAGTCAATTCCTGTGACAGAGTCATTACAATTGAATTGATGCAAGAACACATGTTACGCATGTTCTTTATTTCTAGTAGGAATGAGTCATAAAAGTTCTGGTTCCCTCGTCTCAAAGTCAGCGGGTTCTTTTGAATGGGTTTTTGGTTAGAAGCCTGAAATAAAGTCTGTGGTTGTCACCTTTTGTTCTATGACATCAAATACGTCAGTAAATACCCCAACAGTGAATTTTGAAGCTTTTTTGTCTCAAAACAGCCATTTGCTAACAAGTAAATAAACAAAGCTACAGAGGTTGTCAGCAAAGTCAACACATCGAACACGGAGAGCTGCTCACCAGTCCTCCTTTACAGTCCTGTGTTTATACTCGTGCTCTTTCAAACTATTCTAACTCAAACTTTCCAACTTGTACATTCTGATTACAAGATTTAAAGCTGGAAGTTCAGCGGTGACACTGAAGTCATGCGACGGTGTTGTAGTTTGTTTATAGCCAAACGTTAGCTTTTTACTTCCGGTGGCCACATACATGCTTCAAAAACCATCAAAAAGGTTTTCATTTGTGAAGATTATCCTGCTGAACAAAACATGCATAATCCAAAATCCTGTGGAAAAGTCCCAACCCCATCTTTGATCATCTGTTTAAAAGCTGCTGCTACTACTTCATATGGGTAAACACAGCCCCATCCCATCTTTCAAAACAGAAAGCAGAAACACTGCAGCAGTGAAAATGAGAATCTGTCAGACTCACAAGTTTGTGTCCGGATATGGTTTTCTCAAACTTGCCATCATAAGCTCCCCAGATTTTGATGAGTTTATCAGCGGCTGCAAAGAGAAAATAAATATGTCATCAGTGTTTTGCTAAAGTCTTGCTGCTGTAAACAATACGGCATTATAGGTCGACAGAATATTCAGCTATTCTGATGATTCGTTCATCGTTTCAGTCATTTCTCAAGCAGAACAGCAAACATTCTCTGGTTTCAGCTTCTCGGATGTGAAGATTTACTGACTTTCTTTCTCATATATGGCAGTAAATAATATATCTTAAGGTTTTGGACAAAGCAAGCATATTGAAGACATAACCTGGTGCTTGGAGAAATTGTGAATGCCACTTTTTCACTGTTTTTTTAACATTTCATAGACTAAATAATTAATCTAGAAAATAACTGGCAGATTGACCGATAATGAAAATAATCGTTAGCTGCAGTCCTGATTCACCGTGGCCCATATGTGGTTTGAAGGGAACATGGACAGAGGAAATGGAAATATAACTCACATGAGCTGGCGAGCCATTCTCCGCTCGGGCTGAACTTGACGGAGGAGACGGCTTTAGTGTGTCCCGCTAATGTGAATTTCAGGCTGTAGTTTGGCTTGGCAGGTGCAGACTGTAGAGGAAAACAAAACGTGACATTCAATCATCTCCTCGCGGTGTGTGACAAATGGATGCACATTTATTCAGCGATTCGAAGACAAGGAAAAAACAGAAATGTCTCCAAACCCCCCCTCTGTATATTCCCTCACACTGCCAACAATTACCATGAAAGAAACCCACGAGTGAAGTTGGGAAGCTGCAGGAGAAATACAAACCTTGCTTTGGCTGGCGGATGCTGATGGTACAACTGGAGGTTTTGTGTCAGTCTCTGGTTTCTTATCTTCTGTTGCCATGGTGAGGAAATGAGCATCTATTGAGCAAGATCCTGACGCAGAAGAAGAAGCCGATACGGACAGGAGTTCAGATTGTGAAACAGCACAGCAGTGTCTGACATTAAAGGTTAGCATTGGATACAGCTGTGTGCCTGTGTCACAACACAACAACAACAACTTAGATTACACAATGTGCAAACCAGCAGTTACATTCATTAATGGCATTGGTCGCTCTTTATAAGTATTCAAACTGTACTACTGCATGGAATCAGGAAGTTCAAGTGATTGCAAATATACTATAGAGCATGTGTCACATTTAGCTAATTCACAAAATGATCAAACTGCCTTTTAAGCTAGCCATATTAACTATAGCAGCTATTTTAGACAATTCAAAGCCATACAACCACTGGCTATGGTGCTGTAACAATCACTAAATGCTGTGATTAAATCTACTGGCACAGGCTGCGGTTGTTTTTCTAATGTTTGTTTGTTAAAAAGCCGCAACTGTAACTGTAACGTTAGCTATTTCAGCTAGCAGTTAGCTGGCTGGCTAACGTTAGCTAGCGTCAGCTAGCCTTGTCGCGGTTAAAAGGACTACACAGAAACGTTTCATACGCTCAGCTACGGCTGTAAAAACTACATGGTATTAATCACAAACACGTTAACGTCTATTCATGTTTAAATGCAATAAAGAGGAAATGAGGAACTATCAAACAAAGGGCCTTCGCTGAGGAGTCTCTGACAGAAGCTAGCAGCGTACTGTAACGTTGTTTATTTCAGCATTAAGGATTGACGCCAGACAGCCAGGGATAAACACGCAATGTTAAATCCACTGGGGTTTTTTTAAAGAGAGCTACGGTTAGTCTGATCAGGTATCCGTCTGCTTTCACAGCGTTGATGCTGTTGACAAACTGGCTGATCTGCCACGGAGGGGGCCTCCATTCAAACAATGAGGAATCAGTAAGAAAGACGATACTCACTGGCAGTGGCCGCAGCGTCGCGGTCAGATTGTTACTGCTGGTAAAGATTGGACAGAGAAACGCACGTTTTATTTGTTCAGACGATCATGGAGAACTCATAAATCAATTGGCTTGCTGAAGGATGTGTGCCTGCGCGGAGAAGCGGGGAATGTGCTGTGGTGGTGCTCGTTTGCGCATGCGTGTTACCATCAGAAGTAACGGATAAGGGTGAGGGACATTAAGCCTCCAAAGCAAATATATTCAATGCCGTATGGTAGTGAGTAGTTTTATTAGTGGTTTTCCAGTTTATCTGATGAAAAAAATGTGCGTTAATATGACTTCTAATGCACATTTATTTCCTTAGCCATACTTTAAATACAGTATGTCTGGGAGACACTGAATAAATAACTACCAATACGAATTCCCCAAGTGACAGTGATACAAGTTTAGGTTGGGGGCTGTTTGCCCTGCAGACATGTTGTTTTTCGTTTGAGACTTGCTATGAAATGATAAAGGTAACGTTACATTATTGTGTCAAAAATATCTGACCACCTCAGGGTACTACATTACTACACAAGGGTACTATAAAGCAAACTAGTATGCTGTATAGGTGCAATAATAATAATAATAACAATAATAATAATATAGCCTGAATCATCGACACATTTCCCTTCTGTCACTGTTTCATTATATATTAACAAAATGATTAGAATATATCTGTATGGCGCATAAGCAGTGAATGGTATGTCCCTACACACTCCAACACAGTAGGTGGCGGTGTACCTTGGTTTACGATCCGCCATTGAAGCTAAGGAGGAAGGAGAGCGTCCTCTGTGCAGCAGGTTTGTTTTAGTAACAAAGTTTTCAGTTTCGAAGTTGGACCGACGGTTCACTGTGGAGTCAACGAGGCTTCATACTCGGGTATCTGTGCGGAATGTAACCGCTTCTGAAACAGAGCCGCCTGGTACCAAGGTGCCTTCTTAACAAAACCACTCAGTAAAAAAAAGTTCACCAGCCTTTCCTGTTTGTTTGGGGTATATAACTCTATATTTGTTCGCCGGGATTCTCCCATCATTCCCCGCGAAACAAATCTATGTAACGTTACGTTGCCGTTTTGAGACGATAACAGTCAACGTGAGCAGGGAGCTAGCTGCGTCGAGGCTCTGTGTGGAAACTTTGTGCTGAAACTTGACCTCCTCAAAACAATGCAGGACTGTCGGACTTGACTTTTTGTGTGCACATTCTCAAGTAGGTTAGGTGGTTAATGGAAATGAGTTGTGTTTATCGGTTGACGGCACCGTGCACGTGAATTTTGCTCGCCAGCTAACTTAGCTAAGTAAAGCTAATGACCCTCGCGAGGCTTTCCACATAAACCTAGCGTTTAAAATAGCTGAACGATAGCTTTCTCTACAGCAGACTTGGTGCGTTATTTATACTACTTTAATACATTAACCTGACCTTTTATTTTGCTCTGTCCAGCGTAAAAAGTTAGCTTTTACGTTAACGTGTCGCCTGTAAACTGATAATGTCAAGATATTATAGCCACTAGGTTTATTTATTGCTACAAACCTACATAGAGCTTACATTTGAAGTGACACAGTTGCTCTGCCCAAACCTCTGTCAACTGTTTTACAAGCCATGTGCTTCCTGTAAAATCTGACCTTTGACAACGTTTTTTTTCCCTCATTTACGCTACAGAGTGACAATAAAACACCTCAGAATTAACCATACATTTTATACTAACGTTAGCCTACCTCTCCATACTACTAATTTAATAATCTGCAATGAGGCACATTAAAATCAGTGTTAGCCATACATTTGTCCCAAGTCAGGGACAGCTACAATTTCGATATTTTACCATTTAAATAACATGTAATAACAACATGTGAACACGTATAACAAGCATTTCATTCACCACTGATACAGACACTCCTTGGTTTGTTCCAAAAGTAGACAAAAACAGTTCATCAATCACAGCAGCTGTAAAACATGCCAACATGGACACAGGGCTCAGTGTCATAGCTGTAAATATAGACAGACTAAATCAGCTGTTGTGAGCTGTTCTTAAACATCTTTTCAGTTTAAATAATGATTTATGGTACATGTTTTTGTCTGTGCATGTGTAGAAATTTAGATTGCAGTTTGTGACCTTTTATTTTTGAGAGTCTATTTCCACCACCCCAGTGTTGCATCCAAATTTGAAAGTAGATCAGTTCTATTTGGCGACATTGTCAGTATAGGCTGCTTATTTTATATATCTTTGATTTCTGGACCATAGGAGTCATCTCTGATCTTTTACGCCCCCCCATAACTCAGTTTTTACCTCAACAGATCGCATTGTCTGGCATGAAAACTATGAATGAAGTGGGCTGGCGTTCCCTCGGAGCCTTTGATGAGCTGACAGACGAAAACTACAGAAGATAACAAAAAGCAACAGAGGTTGTTCATCTGTTGAAGACCAGTCACTTCCAGCTGCCGCCATCATGTCAGCAGACGCAGAGCCCAAACCTCCTCAGCTTGTGAATCCCCCGCCTCCTGAGGTGACCAACCCCACCAAGCCGGGCCGGAGGACCAACCAGCTGCAGTTCATGCAAAATGTGGCGATTAAATCCCTGTGGCGGCACCAGTTTGCCTGGCCTTTTTACCAGCCTGTTGATGCAGTCGCTCTTGGACTATCAGTGAGTAGTTTGCAAATGTTCATTAAACTCTTAGCAGTGCTTCAAATCCAGCATTTATCACATCACACTGCAGTTTGCAGTGCTTTTGTTTCTTGTTTTTTTTTTTTTTTTGTTAAAGAATGGAGTCTGTTATTTATGTATTCAAAAGGTAATTAAACAAACAAGTGGGTAGTTTGCTAACATTAAGTGCTTATTAGCATTTTTGTTTTCATTAGCTAACCCCCAGCCCTGATTTGCAAGTCAAAAACACATCCTGAAACAAACACACATCTGCGGCATCCAAAGTGGCTTTGAAAAGTTGTAAATCTGCTCTTTCTATATCACTGTTAAGGGTAGTTTATATTTTATAGTTTAAAATTTTTTTAGGTTCCGATGTACAAAAAAAAACCAATGTTATTTACAAACAAATTAAAGTGGCGTTTAGGCTTCGGAAACCTAAACCAGGAGATTTCTTTTCACACACCAACCCCCACCGTGTAACCGTCTGTGGTCTAAAATGTCATATATGTGTCTCGCTTGGTCTCTTTTCTTTTTCTGAAGTAAAACTGCTGCTAAATCCTTCAATTTCCTGTTTTTTTTATTCTTTCACCGCAGCTGTTGATAGTGTTGTCTTTAAGTTTTGCTCACCGCTGTTTCTTGTTTCTTGCTTGGTGTTGGTTGCCTCTTAATCCTGCACACAGTGAGTATAGGGACACCAGAATGTGGCATTATACTCATCCAACATTTACAGCTCATACCCACTCATGAATCATAACAAATAACCCAACATTTAGGAGAAATAACCTTGAGACTATATTACTGCTTTTTTAACATGTCTATGCCAGTACTTAATTAATGATCATTTAAAGTAGCTTTAAATTAGATGCTTTAGTTCTGGAATTTAATAAAATAATTAACTAATTTAATAGGGACTATTTCTTAAGTAGTCCCTACTGTAGCACTTAATTAGTCCCAATTAAAGCAGTGGATTATCCAGAGTATTTGAGACACTGTTTTGACGTGAGATGTTGAATTGAAGTAGATTCAACTAAATTCCCTTCACCTCTGTCGGGGACAATGTGGAAAGCTCTGAGACAGATATGTCACAACCTGGGCAAATAAAACCAAAACTGTCTGCATGGCTAATGAAAGAATAATTCCACTTTATTACAACTTGGGTGTTATTTACATGGTTTTGGCTAGCATTTGTATCAGTTATGATAACAATGTACTTACTAAAATAATTGCTGAGGTCAGGGAACATGGAGACATGACTAACACAAAGTCAGACGGGATAAGAAACGAGTGGTCAGACAGGTTGTAAACAAGCCAACATTTTAGGCAGATTATGTCAAAATTATGTTGAAAGGTGGTAAAACAGAGCGTGAGCGTTATGTGTTTGCTTTTAAGTTCCAAATCAGTTTGGGGGTTTGTTTAAAACCTGTCTGCTCAGGTTTCTTGCTCCATCTGACTTCATCTGAGCGGTGTGGCTGTGTTCCCAGATCTCAGCATATTAACATGGTGGGTATCATGTTGTTTTCACAATAGGAACATTGGCCAAAACTATCAAAACAAGATCCAAATTATAATAAACGGGAATGAGAAAGCTTTGAAAAGTGCTGAAATGCATGAATTGTGCAAAACATGTTTTGAGTCAGACTTTGTCAGATTCTTTTGTCGATGTGGGACAGAATCAAAAAAACAAGTCTGCATTCATCTGACACATTGACTCTTTTTCTTGATCAGGATTATCATACAATAATAACATCTCCCATGGACTTGGGAACCATCAAGAAACGACTGGAGAACAACTACTATTGGAGTGCAAGTGAATGTTTGCAAGACTTCAACACCATGTTCACCAACTGCTACATATATAACAAGGTGAGGGGCTTTGTGAGTAGAAATACACTGAGCTGGTCGGACTAACAAAAGACTAAGCCCTCATACATTTCCCCCTGTCCTCCAGCCTACAGATGACATAGTGCTGATGGCCCTCGCCTTGGAAAAGATTTTCTTGCAAAAAGTCGCCCAGATGCCACAGAAGGAAGTGGAGGTTCTTCCTAATGCAGCAAAAGGAAAGGGCAAAAAAAGTAGCACTCCAGGTAATGAACAGGTATCAATGCTGCAGGTTTCTTCACGTCTTCCTGATAGCATGAATGAATGAATGTAAACACACTCAGAATAGTCTGTGTGTGCATGCTCTGCTTTCAGTTTAAATGCTGTCTGTCTGTATTCTATTGTATAAATGGTCAAAAGTTTACATTAAGATCCCCCTAAAGAATTTTTTTCCCTTAATTTAGCCGTTAGCATTTTACAGGACATTGTGAATGTCACTGAAGTCATTAATCTTAGTATGTGTTATTGTGTGAGTAAGAGCTGCATATTTCACCCTTATGTCACCCTCAAGTCTCAGCCACCGGTGGTGATTAACTGCATCAGTAACCCGCTGCCACTCCTCTTTTTTCTCTCTGTTTGAAATGACACCGCTCAGTGCTCCAAACTATAAACTGTCTTCCCTGTGGATTCTCTAGTAGGGTTTTATTTAGCAGAAGCTGGGTTTCTACTTGAAATGTATATGGCTATTAAAGTGGTAATTGTGGGTGGTTCTCTATGTGTACATGTTTGAGTGGACACCTGCACAAAATCAGAGGGAGAAAAAAATCAGCACAGAGCAACACAGAAAAAAATATCTCAGATTATACACAAACAGTAAAGCTGTTAGGAATAAAATAGAGAAATCTAAACGCAAAAAAAGTATTATTTTTACTGTCTGTATGTATACAGGGGGGCAGAATGGACCTGCGACCACATGTTCTTCGTCCACTACAACACCCACATCTCAGCCCAGCCTCAGCCACACACCCTCCAGCTCATCCTCAGTGCCCAAACACTCATCACAGACCCCCCCAAAAGTGAGTCACCATTTGTGTCTCTGACCCGCTGTCATATTTTAAAAAAAAAAGGAGAATTGTACCTGATTCTAGTGTTTTTTGTGCCAATGAAGAAGACGGGGATGAAGCGGAAGGAGGGGGCCGCCACAGATTTGTCCTCAGCGGCCATAACCACTTTGAGTGATTTCTCGGAAAGCAAGAGGAAACGTAGAAACTCAGGCCGAGCCGTCAATCCCTCTAGGAAGGACTCTGAAGAGAAGGAGTTCCCACAAGGACAGAGTAGGCTGAGCGAACAGCTCAAGTTCTGCAACGATATCCTGAAGGAGATGCTGTCCAAGAAACATGCAGCCTACGCGTGGCCTTTCTACAAGCCTGTCGACGCTGAGGCTCTGCAGCTACACGATTACCATGACATCATCAAACACCCCATGGATCTCAGCACTGTCCAAGTATGAACTGTACATTTACATACACAAATACAGTTTCTCTCTGGATGATCTAGTTTTCATGAGTGATGTTGTCTTTGATATATTTTTTAATTCCAGAAAAAGATGGATGGAGGGGAGTACCAGGATGCACAAGGCTTCGCTGCAGACGTAAGGTTAATTTTTTCCAATTGCTACAAATACAACCCTCAGCATCATGAAGTCGTCACTAAGGCCAGAAAACTTCAGGTGTGTTTTGAGTTGTAGCATTTAATAACTGAGGGGTTGAAAATAGTTTTACTGGTTCTTTAGGCTCAGTTTTCTTTTCCCCTCAGTCCTTCTTTCTTTCTTGTGTTTGCTTTAGGGCGTGTTCGAGAAGAGGTTTGCAAAGATGCCAGATGAGCCGGTGGAGTTGATTTCCCCAGTGAGTCCTGTGCCCGCGAGGAGCGCAGGTTTTAGTGGGATGAGTGTCAACAGCTCGTCCAACTTCGACAAATCAGACTTATCAGAGGAGCGTGCCACCCGACTTGCTGAGTTGCAAGAACAGGTGGGTGCAGAACAGGTGGGTTTCTACACAGATCTCCAGGGTCTTGTTATATAACATGTCTTTCTGCTACTTCAAACCACAACAGGATCACACAAGCAATATTTTAAAAGAACTATGCTGCGCTATGAGACTTGACCAGCACTTTATTTATTTTTTATGTAATTGTTTATTTGTTTCGGGCCAACATAAACAAATGCCACGCACCGTAACTTGTAAAGGCTAAGCTAATTTGCAATGCCTGTCCATTTGCTACAGCACGGTGGTTAGCATTGTTGCCTCACAGCAAGAAGGTCTTGGGTTTGATTCCTGCTTGGGCCGGGCCTTTCTGTGCTCTCCCTGTGTCTATGTGGGTTTTCTCCAGGTGCACTATTAGGTCCATTTCTTTAGTCAGTGCCCTTGACCAAGGCAATAGCTTAGATATGGAGTCAGTCTCCGTGCTGCCCACTGCTCCCAGTACTTAGGATGGGTTGAATGCAAAGGACACATTTCACTCTGATGTGTATGATTGTATATGTGATAATAAAGCTGATTCTATTCTTAACTCAACAAATACACAAGATACACTCCAAAACATGAACTCAACAATAAGTATGTACATTTAAAACACACAACTGCCACCTTATTTTCTGGCTCTTAAATATACAGCAATGTAAGGTATATTAGATGAGGTGTTTCTTCCCTGCTCGGACTCGTCAGTTGCTTCACATGCTAAGCTCGACTTGGTCTTGCATACAGTAAACCACTCAATGAGACTACCTTGTCTTCATTCTTACTCTTTATGTCGCTTCCCCTTCAAACTTGCTAACACAGAAACTACTCTCTGGCTCCAACCTCCTCTTTGATTTCTCAGCGCTGCTATTTTTCTCACATTTTCATGCTACTGTGTACCACCACACTAGCCCATTTCTGTTGACCTTCTACCCAGCTAAAAGCTGTTCATGAGCAGCTCACTGCACTCTCGGAAGTCCCTGTAATTAAACCAAAGAAGAAAAAAGTGAAGGACACAAAAGAGGACAGCAGGCAAAATGCCAGCTCAAGGTAGGATGTTTTACAGAAGTGAAGAACCCTTCTTTTCACATTATGTCACTGCTATATGGAGACATCTTAGCTGCTCTGTCTTGAATTTCAGGCAGTCATGGAAGAGAAGTAAAGACTGGGATTCAGATGATGAATGTCTGCCGATGACGTACGACGAGAAGCACCAGCTGAGCCTGGACATTAACCGGTTACCTGGCATTAAACTGGGCCGCGTGGTGCAAATCATTCAAACATTAGAGCCCACAATGTGTGACGCAAACCCAGATGAGATCGAAATCGACTTTGAGATACTGAAGCCGTCCACTCTGCGTGAGCTGGAGAAATACGTGAAGTCTTGTCTCTATAAGAAGTTTAAGAAATTTCAAAGTGAGTATAAAGCCTCACTGCGATCCTCCTTTTGAATTATTTTCAATTTTGTTGAAATTGCCCAATAAATTGAAATGTCATCAGCATCTGTAGCATTTAATCTGTGTCTGTTCTTCCCTTCATCCAGAGAAAAGTGGTCAAACTGCATCTCGTCACGTCAGCTGCAGCAGTTCTTCAGATTCTGTCACCAGCAGCTCCAGTGACTCCAGTTCAGAAAACTGACTTGTGACAACTGTGATGTTTTTATTTATTTCTTATTTTGTTTACCAAAAGAGAGATCTTCAAAACTGTTTAACATACTTATTTTTGTATTTGTTTTATGTTCAATATGTGGAAAATTAAACTTCCCACCTAGTGTCTTTGTATTCAGTGTGGCTTTTCTCACTCTGTTTCTTCATTACTCACAATATGGCCATGATCTGTGGAAGTTCAGGAGCAAGTTGAACATTTCAAAGATTATATTACGGTTAAAGGGAGAGAACAGGGTCTGTTAAAGGTATTGTTGAGCAGAAATGAACAGGAAGTTGTGTTGAAGCGTTTAAAGGTTGGTTGGTTAAATGTGGAAATGTAGGTGGCTGGTTGGACCTGGTCTGAAAACCTAATACTTCTATGGCTGGCCTTCATTCTGCCTGTGTGCCATGGCTGCTGTTTGAGATACAAGTCATGACAAAACACGAATCAACTTACCAAATCATATATTCATTGACTCACAATGGATTTATGGTGTTTGGAATAATTACAGTGAAGCAATTTGTATTTCCTTTCCTTTATTCCTTTTATCATTTTATTGTATTTAAAAGTTTATTATACAATATTAAAATGTATTTTCATATCACTTAAAAGTAGTGGATTGTCTTTTTAATTACTTTTAACTGTATTCAGGTCTAATCAGATGGAAAAATGTATGTTTTCTTTGATTGTGTTTAGATCATATATACTCTCAGTGGTATAGATTATTGCCTTCACTTACGAGTCCAGAGCAGGGTGTAGATCAAACTTTGGAAACACTTTATTTTAACTCCGCACCTTCCATATTTATAAGCAGTTTAAAAACAATGGTTTCTAACACACTATAATGTAGTGCACCAGTGGGAGAGTAACATGGCCTGTTATTATTGCAGTTACCAATGTGGTCTACAGTATATTGGACAAATATCTGTTAAAAAGGTTGTTTTTTTTCATAATACAGACATAAAGGACCAGTGTGTAGGATTTAGTGGCACATAGTGGTGTAGTTGTTTACAACCCCCTCGCCCCCTCAGCACCTCTGAATGTTACACACTGGACCTTGAAGTTATTAAGGGCAATCAGCCTAAGGTAAATGTTCCTTACAATTGTGTCTTATGGATGCAACAATTACTAAGCCAGTTGCTCCTATTTAAACATTTGCGTATCACTTGTAACTCTTTGCAGGTCTAACATGCTACCTCCCATGGAAATGAAATGCTGAAAATGAGTACAATCCTTCATGGCTGTGATGAAAGTTCAGTTGCATTGTCATGCTGTTTAACATTTAATGTTTGAGAGAATTCAAGTTCAACTTTTTGATTTTCACATTTAAAAATGTTTGGTTATATTTATTTCTTGACCTATGTTTGCTGTGCTTATTGTTCCAAGCAGAAAAGGTGAATAAACAGTTGAACAGTCCTGCTGAATAACCTTGGTAAAGGTCCACCGCAGGGTTTCACATGTTGTAGTCCATTTACTACAAATGACTTGCTCTCAATGTTTCTAGCATTATGTAGTGATGTAGGCTTCTTAAGATTGTGGTATGAAAGTTAACTTGGAGAGACTTGAAACTTAAAAGTGAACATCATGTCCACTGTTATTTATGTCAGCCATGGTTTTGTTGAATGGTAATGCATTATGTCAGTCTGCTCTTATAACTGTTACCATGCAACAGTAATGTAACTTAGACAACAACAAGAGAAGAAATGATGAATGTATTGGCTATTTTTTTATTAAATATGGACTTACTGTTCAGAATTCTGAAACCCTAGCCCTGTCCAAACAGCAGGAATGCCATTTGTAGTAAATTAACCTCAGTGTAAAAACTCCCCACTGCTCTTTATGTTATGTTTTTATATTTGTTTTTATTTTTGTTTCCAATGTCTCCAGCTATTTTGTTGCTGTTAATATAGTGACTCAGTTTCAAACGTTCTAGCAAAAATGCTTGTGTGTATTATCAAGTCTGCCCAACGCAGACCTTTTTTTACTCTTATGTTTATTTTTTGTTAATAAAAGTAAAAGCACAAAAGTGGCCTTGTGTTTATTTAACAGGACAGATGTGAAGTACCCCTAATATTGTGCTCTTTAATAAACAGTACGTGCCACAGTGAAAGAAAGCCCTCTTGCCTAAAAGCTTTACTCCACTTTCAGCTGGCCTGCCAACTGCTGTGCAGGAACTGGCACACGCTCAAAGCTGACCAGTTCAAACAGCTGGTGCCTCCACCAGCTTACGCTCCATTGGATCTTAGTGCTTAACGTCTTTGAGCATGGGCTGAAGGCACTGGAGACGTGTTAAGTCAGGGTTGCTTGTGCGAGAGGACAGTGGTACTAAAAGCACTGAGTCGTATTGGCAGGAAGAAGATAAGAGTACACAAGCTGGATATCTGTGGCTCAACGCTGCTAGTTCAGTAATCAACCAGGAGATGGCGATCATGTACTATCCTCAGCTTTATTAGGATTACTTTTATATGATTTCACTTGTGTATCGGAGAAAATACTACAGTTGGCATGAGTATATAGCCTATACCCTATGCATTGTTTATCATTATTATTTGTCAGTGGACCTTGTATGAAAAATTCAGCTTAGAGTGATTTTCATTAAAGGAATGAAAATCACTGATACCTCAGCGCTGGGGAAAAAATAAAGAAAGCCTCAACTGCTTGTACACTGTGGGGTCATTCATCATTTACACTATTTTTCTTCCTCCCGGCCCAGCTTGCTGTCCTTGCACTGTGCATATGGCAGGGAGACATGCTCTTTGTGACCTGCATTCCCATCATGCCACATTGAACATGCCACTCGGCTCCAACTAACAACCTTGGGGCGTGATTGATCAATGCCACAACTTCAATGACAACTAGTCATTTCTGCCACTTCTGGCCATCACTCAGGACGCATGAATCCAATGTTAAAAAGGCCACACGCATGCAACTCTCCAGACACACCACGTTAGACTGTGTTTGCTTTGATTAATGGATCTCTGGTTTTCATTTTCTTTTCGCCAACATTGTAGAAGAACATTCAGGAGAAAGAATAGAGACTCACTGAACGCGGCCTCACAGTGTCAATTTGAATCAAGGTATGTAGAATGAACTGCACATGTATGCACTTCTGTTCAGTAAACGATTTATGTTAATGTGACATATATCAAGGATCTTAATTGCAAATTAGCTGACGTTCTCGATAAAGTGAGGGCCTCTTTTTTTATTTTAATATGCTCCATTTGTAACAAAATATGTGCCACTTATTAGTCTATTTTAAAACCATTACTTTAGAAATTGCTGAGTATGTTATTTTGCAGCTCTACACTGCATCACATTCACATACAGTATATATATATAGGTTCACTTATGGGTGCAACCAGGAGCTTATACTCTGCAGTATAACTGGATCAGCTAGGTGCAACCTAGTCATAACCCTGTTTCTGTAACCTTTAGGACACCGCTGCCGGTTATTTACTATGTAGGTTACAGACGTCAGCCATTTCCTCATGTTCATACTGTACGCTGTGTGTTTTCCTTCAGTGTTATCTGTCGGTTTCCGGTAAAGTGCGTGGAGGAATTACTGTTTTACTGACTTTAAAGAAGGATGTTCCAGCAGCATTACGTTTAAATGTTTTGACCTTCAGTTATCTGTCCAGGCAGGATTTACAGAGTGCATGCACACTCTGCTTTTAACAAAACAGTATTTTCAAATTGTATACAATTTTCATAAGTGAACGCTAATCAGTAAGACCATGGTCTGGTACAGCTGACTAAGCTCCTCTGAATCTGTCAAGGGTTAAGGTCCTTTCCCTTCAGGTTCGAGGATAGGAACAAGCAATGCTCTTTCTCCAAACTCTCAGCCAGTGCTACCTTTTTTGTTGCATTTTTTTCAACTTGCTCTGGAACTGCTGTGAGCATGGCAACAGTTCCCCCTAGAAAAGACCTGCTGAAAGACTTATGAGCCATATTTTAGGCTGATGAGGCTGTTCAAAAGGTCTTTAAAGGTTAAGTGATCTCATGGCTCCATCAGCCAAACTCAAAGAACATTTGTACATCACAGAATGCATTATCAACATCCATTCACCCTGCTCACCCATTCTTAAATGCCTCAAGATTAAAGAGCTTTGTCAGTTTTAGGCAAGGTTCTAGTTGACCATTAAGAGTCCAGATCTTGTATAATCTTAAAGAAACGGTGCATTGGCTGTTATATTTGTCTGCTTACTTTTAAAGGTTGAGACCAGTGAATGTATAAGCACTCCACCCAGAACTGGTTTTAAGATGGATTGATCAATGCCACAACTTCTATGAAGGTATAGGAACGCCACGAGAACTGGTTTTAAAGTGTCAATAGACTGCATATATATGCTCTGTAGATAAGCCTTGTCGGTTTTTGGGGCCCTTATCCTGATGTCCAACAGCAGTGGAAACTGACCAGGCGAGACCATGATGTCTTCTGGTGGTCAGTGAAGCAATTAAACCCTGGGGCCCAGTAGCCTGAGGTGAATTGGGCGAAACACAGTCAGCACTACTGACAGACTGACCACATCCACAGCCGCCGTAAGCACTAGCAGAACGGCCTCGGGCTCCCTAGCGGTCCTGTCTACCGGAGTGAGTAGACGTGTGTAATTGCAGGAAATAGGAAGGAGTTCCACTAGGTCCAAAGTAAAATGCTAAAATCACTGTTCAGGCAGCTTGAATGGTTCTAACTGAAGTCCAACTGGAATTCTGCTTACAGGCTGCCTACATGGTCAAGTCTTGTCTTCCCATATTCCTGCAAACCCTGCAGCCAATGGGCAGGCTCGTTAAAGTGGGTGTGAAACACGCTGAATCGGCCATGAAGGAAACTGTCCCCATCAAACAGGACATGGATAAGTTGTAAGCTTGTGATTGTTGAACTTCACCTCTGGGTCAGAGATGATAGCCAGCAACCTTTATGGACAGTTGAAGATACAGACAAAGCCTGCTGTGCAGTACCAGGTGTCGCAAGGGCAACAGGTGCATCAGAGTCGGTGAGCCAGAGAATTCGATTTTATCTAATTCTCGCGGCCTGCTCCTGAGGGCCTCATACTTTTCTTTCAGCAGCTAGTATCGTCTCTGCGCTACAAACAGTTCACAGGTCCAAACCCCCCGTCTGGGTCGTGTTGGCTGCTGGAGACAGCTACAGGGGGGTAAAAAGATGATCAACTTTTTGGTTCCACTGCTGTAGTTCCGTCACTATTATGTTTTAAAACATCTTGAATCGATGTTTCCCTTTTGACATCCAAAATATTTGGGTGGGAGGCAATTTTTTACTGGCCAGTCCCAAGCCACTACGCAAAGAAGGCTGCAGAAGGAGATGCTCCTTGCAGAGACAAAGAGTCCACAACATTCATTGCAGCTGTAAATAATAGCTGTTTGAATCCTTGATTTTAATTTATTCACTTGTACATGGTCTTTATAAATCCAGCTTTGCAATCTTCAAAAAAAAGAAAAAAAAGAAATCAAAAGAAGCACAGAACACCAGACTTTACTATACAACTCTATTTTATACCTGCAAATAAATTAGCCAAATGAATGATTTCCCCGTGGAAACTCTGAAGGTGGGAAGGGACAATGATGACTGAGTTGAGAGAGTAATGAGACATGACAAAGAGGGTTTAACAAGAAACAGGTGGCATATTGATGTTAATGACAATTAAGTGATTAATTGGCCAAGTGCGAGTATTTTATTAACAAGGACAGACATTGGGAAATCTATGGAAGAGGAGAGAGATTGGGAAAGGAACAAGTGCCAAATTAATGAAGTGCACAAAATAAAAGCCAAAGAATCTAAATGGTAGAAGACAATTAGGAAAGAATTGCAAAAAGCTGATATAAGTGATGTTGGCCAGGGATTGGATCAGTATTCATAGACAACATGGAGAAGTTGTAGAGGGCATCTGGGATCAAGGTGTACACATAATTATATGTAAAGAGAACTTCACTTTCTTTGCATTAAAGCAATTGAAGCCTTGACCTGTTAGCTTAAAGCTGAAAGGTTAGTTTAAACTTACATTAACTAATTTTCCAGACACTTGGGAGCAGAATGGAAACAAGCCGTAAACACAACACTAAGATAACCTTTGAAATGTATATGGAAAACTGATTGTAAAACATTAGCATTCATGTGGAGTTGTGTTCCCAGCCAAACAATGAATCTAAGTCCAATATTCACTTTCCTTTTAGCTTTCACTGGCCCTTTTAGCTGCTAAATGCGCCACTTTGTTCACCAGTTAGTCACTAACTGTGTCTGTGTGCCATTTGGTGCTGGGAAGGAAGTTTACAGTGGCTCTTTTTTGTTGCTGTTTATTTATTTTTTGCTGAAAACAGCTGCCTGCTGCATGTGAAAATGGTGCTGATGAGAGCGGTGACAGTCAACCAAACAGTAAAGCTGCTGGCAGAGAAATGTAACAGTTTGCTGAAGGGAACAGCATAGTTGTTGTTAACTCCGTTGCTACGAGCCAACTTTTTGACATACTCATTTTATCATTTATTCATTTTTTTATCCATTATTCATATAAAAATATTGATTATAGCAGCTTTAATGCATATCATTTCCCTTAACAGGGAGGCTATGGTTGTTGAAGGCCTGTTGCTGACTGAAATCAGCCTATGGAAAACATGGAAAATGCCTACATTGACTCTGTTCTATTCGAGTGTCCCAGTAAGTCATGACAGTGAGCCAGCATGTGCAATACCAGGACCCTGAAACTAAAGCAACTAAATGCAATTCAGCCATCATTAATTTATTATTTATACCTGCACTTTTCCTGCTGTGACATTTCAAAATGACTTCTGTGAAAAAGGCCTCTTGGTAAAAATAAAAAAATATAAAGTTATGAAATATGCCACTTCCAAAGTGTTGGCTCAGACTTGCTGTCACCGCAAATGAAATGATGGTAGGTATATGATGGAACAAGTCATGACAAGCCAATCACATTTATCAGTGGCAGAGTATATTGAGCATTTCCCACCACTGTAAATGTAGTGGTTAGTGTGGCGTGTTTTAATGCCACCCAGATTAATATATTGCAATTTAAGTGAACCACAATTGTATATATGAGAATGATATATGATATATAATATTTATTTCACTGTTAGTACAGCGGCCTCATGGTTCAAGCTGCACTGTCACCTAAAAAACACCTTCACCTCGCTGCACTTTCAAGCCTGGTCTGAATAATGTCCTCCACCTGCCTGTGGCTGCTTTCACTGAGCCTATACTCCATTAATGAGTCTGTTTCTGTTATATTATTGTAACATTATGCTGCTGTAAAAGACCATCTACCCTGTGAATGAAGGTTTAATACATAACCTTTAGTCTAATTTTGTAAACAGTTTGGGTCAGCAGTACAGCCAGAAAACGTCCTATTAAAACACATCAGGTCTAAATAGCAGAAAATCTTTATTTTATGTTAATCCTTCATCAATCAATGTATTCTCAGTGGTCTGTACACCTGACACGGGGTGTGTGTGTGTGTGTGTGTGTGTGTGTGTGTGTGTGTGTGTGTGTGTGTGTGTGTGTGTGTGTGTGTGTGTTTTGTGATGGGGTTAACGGTTACATTAAAGGGGCACTCACTTTGTGAGATGTAGCATTTCAGGTAAAGTCGGGACTTTATGAGATCAACATATCATGACTTGTAATCTCTAGTATGGCCAAAAACAGCAGATCATTTCCAACAATGCTTGATAGTGTCTTTTAGTTATCCCCTTTTTTCCCCGTTTTCCTGACTTTTAACCTCCACACCAACTCCAACTGCACCTTTAACAAAAATCCAAAATCATTTATTTAATATAATTGTGTGAATAACCACAATCATCCACTTCAGTGTAAGCACATTGACTGAAAACTATTGTTTTTTCAAATGTATTTATTTATTTATTTTTTTTAAATGCCCCTTTAATCCCCTTGTATCAGAAGCCCCTGCAGTGTGCGCCTCATCCGTCAGAGGGCGCATCCACAACTCCCAGTTGAAAAAAAAAAAATATTCCCTGAAACTCACATTCTTGGAGTAAGGAGCCACTTCACCAAAGTGTGGACACACTACCCAAGTGTTACCTTAGCACGAGATAATCGGCACGTGCGAGCTCGTTCAGCCTCCTGCCCTGAACACCGAGAGAGAATCCCGGACGCGCTCTCCCTAGGATTTGTACAGCTCGGCTCGGGAGTTGGGACCGCTAAACATCTCCGTCCGAGAGGGAAACGAGGAGTGGGAGACGCGAGAGAAGAGAGGACATGAACGGAAGGGAGGCACAAATCACTGAAAAGCAGAGCTGTATACGCGCGTAACGCTATTCCGGGCTGTGCGTAAAAGCGCCAAACAAAGTAACGTTAACCGGATAAATGTAAACACTGCTATTTTTTTGTTTTTTGTTTCTCCTGGACATGTTTCCGCTGCCGGAGAGCGTTGTTTAGACTGTGTTGTGGAAACAAGGGTGATCCCGGCGCTGTACAGAGACTGCTCTGTGTATGATCTCTGTTTCTTTTATTGTTATTGCTCTGGGAAATTACGGGAAGTTCTTGTTTTTGACGCTTCGCTTCTGAGGAAATGCGATGCGAATGCGGTAGGTGACTCCGGGGCTCTGGTTGAACAGCTAAACAGGACTTGAAACGCTGTTTTTTCCACATTTGCATGGTAGGCTGTGCTGTTTGGTTCACTGAAATGTGAGACACTAGTGAAGTCGACACATGACAAACCGCCGCATCCAGCTGTTTTATTAGCCACTACTGTAGCCGTCCATTCACGCCTTTTGGATTTGGGATATGCTAAGAAAAGTTTTTAAGAATGAAGAGAAGAAAATTCCCATAGGTCGACTCCGTTTTCTGCTCACATCGCCGCCGTCTGCTGAGCTGGATCTGTGGAAGCGCTGTTATTATTTTAGTCTTTTTCAAGCCTTCATCATTTCCATGTTGTGGCGACAGCAGAGCTGACATGCGCCTGGGATGGGGCTATAGTGCGGTGACACACTGCGATTAACATACAGTTGCGAAATTGCCTGATTGTGGAGCTGATAGTGAATGAGTTAGACATCCGGCGCAGGTAGGGAATCGAGCGTAGTGCCTGCTTGTGCGCCGTGAAACCCGCCGCTTTCAGCCCGGCTGTGAACCACTTCGAGGACTCGGTTTACTTTGTGAGAGGAGGAGAGAGTCTCCGGAGCCGATATGGAGGAGTGGAGACAATGCGGGCGGTGGTTGATAGACTGCAAGGTCCTGCCCCCGAACCACCGGGTCGTGTGGCCCTCGGCGGCCGTCTTCGACTTGGCACAGGCCCTGCGAGATGGGGTGCTCTTGTGCCAGATGTTGCACAACCTGTCGCCCGGATCAGTGGACCTGAAGGAGATCAATTTCAGACCCCAGATGTCACAGGTGAGTCGGCCTCTCTGTGTAAACTTCAGAGCTGCATGATGGGGTTGATTTACACCCTCAGGCTGTGTCTTGTGACTGTGCACACACTCTTTTTTTTCCTTTTATATGCATTGCTTTGCTTCTCATTCACACTTTTGGGGATTGCCAGGGCAGCCACCGGCCACTGGCATCTTCCATGCATCGTTTTGATTGTTTTTGGAAGCTGAATGACATTTTACAGCATCTCGTTCCTGGATTTCCCCCCAGTTATTCAGCACAAGATTTTAGCCGGAAACCTTCCTGTCACAACAAGCCCACTTCTTGGCCTCAGCCCAGTGTAGAGCCACTATCAGTGTATCTGTGATAATACAGCAGTTCAACAGATGTTCATGGTGCACAGTGTAGGGTCCGTTCAGGTTTGCACAGGTGAAGGAACAAGGTGCCACCCCCACACATAAGTGGTGGTTGCCTACTGCCAGACCTCAGGTTGATCACGTCCCTCTGAGTGTTTGTTGGCCTTTCATGTCACTTTCTACACACACGAATACTGATCGGAATTCACTGCGCACGTTGGCACATTTTGGAGTGCAACCTTTTTGAGATTGCTCATTGTTAGGCTCTCAAGAAAATGAAACTGTGATGAATGAATTTGTAGTTGCCCTGCAGTGACAGCTACAACATCTTCATTTGCTTTAGAAGGGTTTTAATTGAGTATTATCCTGTCAGTCTAGTTCTGAGTGGAACTTAATTATCTGCTGAAAGAGGAGTAAGTAAAATATTTAGAGTTATTTTTACTTTTGTCAGTTCAGTTGGACAAACAAAAGAAAAAGTTGTCATTTGTGTTGAAGAGGTGCTGCCAACCTACACCACCTGCATGATGGTAGCAGTTTAACTCCAAAACTGAGGATTATTTGCTTTTAAATGTTTTACCCACATCATATAGCAGAAGAGTAGGCAAGAAAAGACAAGTTTACTGTAAGCTCTTTGCAAAGAAATTCAAAGAGGAATAACCGTTTTGGTATATAGTTAACCACAAACGAAACACAAGTCTACATGGTGGTGCGATTAGAGGTTTGGATCGCTGCACGACTCCGTTTATATAAAGCTCACTCGCCACTTCAGCTCATTCTAGTTTCCAAAGGAGGTGTCGACTGCTACAGGAAGTTTACATGACCACAGCAGCTGAGTTAAAGGGAGCTGTGGTAAATGTTTCTATTGACTTTTGAGGCTGCGTTCACACTGCGGGTACAAGTGACCCAAATTCATTTTTTTTGCTCATGTGTGACTCATTTGTTTTTTTGATGTGAGCCACTTTCTGATGTGGACCAAATCAGATACAGGTCTTTGCAATGTGCCCCCCTTTGAACAGTCATATCAGAATTCATGTGACTTTTATGTTGCTCTAGATCTGCGTTCATCATGTGGGTCACTTCGGGACCTGTTCACAATGGAATCTGATGGAGAAAAAAAAAAATCAGATAGGAGCAATAAATCAGAATTGAGCTCTAAAGCTTGCAGTGTGAACGCAGCCTTATTCACCCTGTAGTCTGGTCTTAAGTACCACTGAGCCTCCATTACTGCATGGTGAGAAGTCTGGGGATTGGCACTGTGAATGGCTCGTGGTTGCCTGCATGCAGGATGTGCTTGGTTATTCTCATTGTCTTGCCCACGGAGGCCAAAACAGCTATCATACCAGAGCAATTGCCCTCTGACAGCACATTTGTCTGATATTCTTGGCACACCTTACGTGACCTGTTTCTGTCATAATAATGTGTGAACGCGTGTGTACTGCGTCTGTCTGTCTGGCTTTCAGTCTGGGTTGTTGGTTGCCTCTTTCGGGTAAATATTCCTGGCTTTTCTTTTATTTTTCCGTAGTCGATGAACAGAAAAATAATTGACGGCAATTTTTTATAATAGATTAACCCTGAGCGAGCAGCAGAATGTAGATTGAGAGCAGGGGTTTGTTACATTATTATTGAATACTCTCACAACCCTGACAAATTACACATCATTGAAAGGCACGATGGTATCTCCACAAAGCACAGCAGCAGAAATATGCTTATTATAGGCAAGAATGGAAAATATATTTTTTGCCATGTTTGTGCTTTTGTTAATGTGGTTCGGTATCATTTGGACTAGTTGTGACTTTTTGATATTAAACTCAGAAGACGTGACCTTCCCGAAGAGAATGGAATTATAAATATAGTTAAAAGGGTTCAAGAATAGTAACAATTTCAGGCTCGTGCACAAAAACAGGGGTGCTTGTTAAAGAGGTAATGGTTGAATTTAACAAGCAGAATGCCAAAATATTCTCTGGTTCCTGCTTGTCAAATGTGAGGATGTGCTTCTTTTCTATTTCATATGGGTTTAAGTTGAATATCTTTGGCATTTGGACTAAACACACCAGTTAAGGTTGGGTTCTGGGAACTGTTAGTTGCAGCTCCAGTCTCTAGTCGTTCTCTCTCTTTGCCTAGTAACCACTAGTAGCCTGGACTTATCAGCTCCAGAAGCTACTGACTTCCATCATTACAAGGCAAAGGAGAGGTCTGGATGGCATGCTTTGATCCGCCCACTAATCCCATGCTCCTGGTACCACTGTGCGAATCTGCAGTGAGGGTGGAAGGGGTGTCCTCAGTGACAAATTGGGTTAAACAAAATCCTGGCAGCAGAACAGTAGTACGTGATTTATGATAAGGAAAAGGTCAGAGCGCATGTGCTTTAACACTCAGAACACACCGAGTCAGTGGCTTAGCCCAATGAAGAGGAGGTGAAGCTGAGTGATTACGTTATTTGCTCAGTACAGAATTTCTCCGATGGCTCCACTTGCACTGTGATTAATAGTTTCACAAATTGAGTTTTGTCTCGCTGTTAAACAATCATATTCTCATATATGTTTGACACAGGGAGTAGGTGTGAACAGGGGTTATAGTGCAGTGTGACCTGAATCAGAACGGGACCTTTGGTGAAAGAGTAACATTCAGTCCAAAGGGATGTGCTTCTCCTTTTTCTAGTGACCCAGTAATTCTTTTCAGTTGCTGCTGTTAACAGGGTCTAATCACAATAATGCTTTGGCATTGATCCCAGTTTGTGCTTCAGTGCATTGTCATTGTGTTTAAGTGCATTCTGTAGAACTCAAAGGGAAGTCATTGTAGCAGCACTGATACTGTATTGTTACTGTAAGGCCTTTTCTGGTATCTGTGATTTAATACATGTTGAGGCAACAGCTGCATTTTTTAGTTTTTCTACTGTACATTTTATGATTTGAGATGATAATAGTTTGAGGGTGCATGTTTTGGCAAGTATTTTGAGACGGTTGTTTGATTTGTCGTACCTGCACGTGGCCAGCAGTACAGTGTCTCGAGAAGGTCCTGGGTTCAAACCAAACTGTGCCAAAAGGGGACTTTCTGTGTAGAGTTTGCATGCTCAGAAGCTTGGCTCCTCTTTTTAAGACATGAGCTCCCCTGAAAACATTATTTGTGAAAGTTTAGGAGAGTGTATAAAATATTGCCAATATCCTATTTTTGCTATGTATTTCTAGTTTGCTGTATCTTAATCATTATGGTTCATTCATAAAATTTGGCTACTATTGATGTGTGATTCATGCATGAGGATGATTCATCAGTGATCATTAATTCACTTTAAAAAAGATGCCGGTTTGCACAAAGCATGGTGGGCAGCTCAGTATCATAAACACTGTAACTGAAAGGCTTAGGTATGTTAGGTTTGATATTTGACCCTTGCATTTGATATCTCAATTGCACTGATTATTAAATATGAGATGTGCTGACATAAAGCAAGTAGGCCGTTGCAGCAACAAGAGTCACTGTCAGTCCTGTCCTACAGGTGCATGCAAGTGCACACACAGCCTCGGGTGAAAAAGTGAGCTCCCCAAAAGCCATGGAATAGTTTGCGCACTGTGCAAGGGGCTTTAATGCTGACAAGGTAAATGAATGAATCGATTTGTCAATCAACAAAAAAGTAGGTGACATTTTAGTAATTTATCAAGCACAAATGCCAAACATTCCAAGGTTCCAGCCTCTCAAATGTGAGGATTTGCTGTTTTATATCATTGTACATTGAATATCTTTGTGTTTTGTACTGGGACAAAAGAAGCAATTTGAAGGCATCATCTCTGGTGGACTACAGGAATTTATGATTTTGACTTATGAGTTCATGCTGTTTTTTCTCCTACAGTTGAAAAAAATGTAGGTTAGGTAAACTGGCCCATGAATTGCCCATAGGTGTGAATGTGAGTGTGGTTGTCTATATGTGTCAGCCCAGTGCATACTGAGACTGATCCAGCCACCTGTGACATTTAACAGAATAGAAAATGGAAAAGATGGATATACCTGTAACTCTGATTTCATTTCATTCATTCAACATTTGCTTTTAATGAGTGACTGAGACGTTTAAACCCCTGGATTACCTGTGAAAAAAATTACAAGTCTGCCGTTGTACCCTTGAACAAGAAGCGCAACACAATTAGCACCTGCTTAAACGAAGCTGAAAGGTGACTTACTGAAGTCTCAGCTTGACTTGCAGGTGTGAATGTGCCTAATGGCATAAAAATAAAGTGGGACACTGCAAAAATCAACACTCAGCAGAGGGTGACTGAATAAATAACGGTTGAAATGTGCATTCAAATGGCTAAAAAGAGAAATGTCCATTCAAGCATCCTTCCACTTCACAGTGAGGAAGTCACACACTTTGTTTATTGTCATGAAATAAGTTATGAAGCACTCAGCTGTAAATAAATGTAAAACAGTTCATCAGAAGCGCCTGAAGTAACCATAGGGTGTGTTGTGCAAAAACTGTTGGTGCCAACGAGTGGTAACAGCGATGTTCACACTAAGCAGGATACATTTGAGAATGCTGTTTTTTTTCTTATATATTTTGCTCTTCCTTCCACATTCTGGCAAGCTCGTATAGAAAACGTGGGTGTCAGAGTTTTGCGCAGATGGCGAAAACGATGACACATGCCTTTATGGAGTTGGCCAGGTTCACATCGAGAGTCCAGTCTG